GGCAGGTGACCTTAACACTGAAGTATAGAGAACAAAGAGTGCTGGCGGTGAGGCAGAAGGACTCCGTTTAGTAGGGGATGATGCAGATGATGACTAAAGCAATGTATCAACATCCAGCCAATTCAGAAAGACTTACAGCAGTAAATGTAAACAGTTTCTTCATTCATTTCGGTTTCTTAATGTTTTGGACCTACTCTGTTATTAATATTACTGCTACTGAGTGAGAAATGTTTGTTTTTTGTTACAGATTTTTCCCCTCAAAACTTCTGTTGGTCACTATCTGTAAAGCCTGGACAGACGCAGCTCTGTAGCAGTAAGGCTGTCTTTCCTGTGTTTCGCCTGATTCTCCTGCACTGCTTCAGCAGTGGCTCAGAGCGGCAGAACAGCGATGTGATTTTGGAGCAAGAGCGACAACAATGACGCTCCGACTTTGCGGAAAGCTGTACCGCGCTCCGAGCAAAATCACGCCGCTCCGCTCCCACGCTGAGCCTCGGTGAGGGAGCCAGCATCGGGAAAAAATCCCTAACAACATGAGGGAGAACTACTGACACGAACTGAGATCCTACAGTGTCTCTCATCATGTACTTTTCTCCATGTTTACAGATAACAGTGTCAGAAACCACATCAGCCCATCAGCTAAGCCTATTTGAGGTCACTAAAAATGTGATATGTTGTCTTATACCCTATTCCACAGCTCAGCACTGCATCCCTCAGTCTCGGCTGGACTGAATTTACTATTTTATAGTGTTTATGTTTTTATTCAGCGCACACTACACAAACACAGTCAGACAGTTATGGTGAATCCTTGTGGTATCAACCAACCCTGACTGCTAACCTCGCTGAGCTATAGGCTAATAAACAACACAGATAGCATTAATACAACTCCTACCTCAGTTATCAAACAAAATCAAAAAGAAAACAGCAGTTTCATCTTCATTCAGCATTAAATAGATACTAGAGACCAGTTTTTTTTTTTACCTTTTAACCATAAAAAGAAGCCAAACTGAGGTAAAGTATCTAGATAGCTAGCTACCATGCTAGCTTTACATTCTAAAAACAGCTGGGTAGCTTGTTGGGTCAATTTGTTGGGTTATTTCCACAGCACAGGTTTGTTTTTTGTATTTTTGTTTTTTTTTGTTGTTGTATTTTTGGTATTTTTGGGCAGCCCAGCCGCTGGGTTAGTGACTGTGTGGATCAGTAAGTAAACTTCCATAAAATACAGAATCTTTACTTCTTTTTATCAGGTAAAACCAATAAATACAGGTGTTTTATTTCAAGGTGTTGCTATGTTACCCCAGGTGGTTGCTAAGGTGTGCTTGGCCATGTCTATGTTATCCCAGGTGGTTGCTAAGGTGTTGCTAGACCATTGCTATGTTATCCCAGGTGGTTGCTAAGGTGTTGCTAAGATAGGCTAATAAACACAACACAGATAGCGTCAATACAACTCCTACCTCAGTTATCAAACTAAATCAAAAAGAAAACAGCAGTTTTATCTTCATTCAGCATTAAATGGATACTAGAGACAAGGTTTTTTTCACGTTTCATTGCTGTGTTATCCCAGGTGGTTGCTAAGGTGTTGCTAGGGCATTGCTATGTTGTCCCAGGTGGTTACTAATGCATTACTAGGCCATACTATGGTGTCCCAGGTGGTTGCTAAAGTGATGCTAGGCCACTGTTATGATAGCCCAAACGATTTGAAGACAGTTCAATCTCAAAACAGCCCACCCACAAAAATCAACCCCAAAGCAGCTGGTTTATCGGAAGCTCCTCCCACCTTCGGCATACATCATAAGGAGGAGGGTTTCCTAGTCTTTAAATCGGAATACCTCATTATATAGACGACTGCAGCACCACTGCGGGAGGCGAGTTAGCATGTTCACCAGGCATAGCAATGGTTAAATTTAGCCATGCAGTTAGCACATTGCTAATTGGTGGGCTATAAGCTCCCATTACTTGTTAGCTGCATTGGCCTCGTAGCTCCAGTGCCAAACTACAAAAGCAAACTTCAGACACCCAAACAAGTCTTGACTTATCAACTTCATCTAGGTTGGGGGGTGGTGGGGGTGGGGGCAGCGGGGGTGGTGGTGGCAGTGGGGGTAACTATCGCTTTAAGCCAAAAAAGTGCAAAGCAGCAGGAAAGATTGAGAAAGTGATGAATCTCTCCATCACCCACAGCAGCAAAACAGGCATGTTTAATGTGCTGTAGCAGCGCGATAGGCATCTCCTCCGATAACACCCTACCTCAGCCTGCACTCGTCTGTTTGCAGAGAGCGAGGGATGAGGGGAAAAAACCCTGCCCCACCTCACCACATCCTGCCCAGAGAGGATATCGTCTTCCAAAAGCTGGCAGAAATGGACACGGCTCAATTAAGGATGGACAGAACATTCTATCTGCCTCTGTCTCCCCCCCACCTCCTTATCCCTCTGTCTCTCGGAGGAGAAGTGGAGAAGTGGCGGGGGTTAAGGAGGCGGTTTTTTGGGGTCGAGGCGAGACACCGATACCTCCGATTAAAGATCTCGCCCTGTCAAAGCAGAAATGCAGCCGGATCGATCCGGCGCTGGACGCAGCCGTGAGGAGGACAGTTCAGATTGGGGACGTTTAAAGTGACATTTCAGCAAAAATTTTAATTAAACAGTTTTTTCCCTTCACAACATTAAATACTGCAGTTTTTTATTATATTACATTCTAATCTGATTGTGTGAAGTCAGAGGATTAATGGGTAAATTGTTACGGTCGATGGGTCAGTCATAGATGAGGGAGGACGCAGCTAAAAGGAAACGGTTCTGATCAATAAAGGTCAGAAGTGACACATAAAACCTCTGACCTCTCACACGTGCAGTGACCCGTAAAGGCCAGAACTGGTTCAGAAGTCAAAAAGATCTCCTGGCAGTCAAAACTGTCTGTGAAGCTGCGTTTTACTGGACTGGCCGAGTGTCTGGTCAACTGACTGGATTAATACTGATCTATAAATCAGGGACAGCAGAACATCCACATAACAGAGAACTGGGGCTGTTTTAGTTCTGAACTCGCGTCTCACTATTCATTTAAAGTAACGCTCCAGTGTCTTTCTGTCTGTCTCTCTCAGTCTCTTTGTCTCTCAGTACGTCTCTCAGTCTCCTTCAGTCCGTCTCTCTCTGTCTGTCTCTCAGTACGTCTCTCAGTCTCCTTCAGTCTGTCTCTCTCTGTCTGTCTTTGTCTCCTTCAGTCCGTCTCTCTCTGTCTGTCTCTCAGTCTCCTTCAGTCCGTCTCTCTCTGTCTGTCTTTGTCTCCTTCAGTCCGTCTCTCTCTGTCTGTCTCTCAGTACGTCTCTCAGCCTCCCTCAGTCCGTCTCTCTCTGTCTGTCTTTGTCTCCTTCAGTCCGTCTCTCTCTGTCTGTCTTTGTCTCCCTCTGTCCACCTCTCAGTCCGTCTGTCTCCCTCTGTTCGTCCTTTTGTCTCCCACAGTTCGACTCTGTCTCCCTCAGTCTGTCTCTCTCTGTCTGTCTTTGTCTCCCTCAGTCCATCTTTATCTCCCTCAGTCCAACTCTCAGTCCATCTTGGTCTCCCTCAGTCCATCACTGTTTCCCTCAGTCTGTCTCTCTCAGTTCTCTTTCTGCCTTTCAGTCTCTCTCTCAGTCTGCCTTTCTGTCTTGCTCCATTAGTCTCTCTGTCTCTCCGTCTGTCTCTTCATCTTTACGTCTCTGTATTTTTCTTTCTCTCTCTTTGTCTATCCCTTTCATTCTCTCTCTCATGTTTTCGTATTAAGGACAGTCTAGCAAAATATAAGGAGGTTCTTCTCTCTCTCTCTCTCTCTCTCTCTCTCTCTCTCCCTCTCCTTCTCCCTTTCCCTCTCTCTCTCCCTCTCTCTCTCGGACAGTCAGTCTGCAGGGCAGCCGCGCTGAGATGCAGCTGAACTATTTCACGCATCAGTTATTTATACTGCAGAGAACTAAAATTAGAACAGGAGTGTTTACCAACCTCAACACACACACACACACACATCTACCTTGTGCTTCCATTCAATGGCCACTTTATTAGAAACACCTATAGTGGTCCTATGGTCAGAAACTAATTGTGCACACTAATAATAAAACTGTAGTAAATGTAAAAAGTTTTTGAGCCACACTAACAGTACAAGGAGCTTTTATGGAGTTATGTTGTGTAGTTTACTGATGATTACGGCTCTATCAGCCCATTCCTAAAGACATTTCTGGGACAGAATGAACTTTTTTGGAAAATGTTATGTCTATATACACCTATCAGACATAACATTATGACCACCTCCTTGTTTCTACACTCATTGTCCATTTTATCAGCTCCACTTACTATATAGGTGCACTTTGTAGTTCTACAGTTACAGACTGTAGTCCATCTGTTTCTCTGATACTTTGTTAGCCCCCTTTTACCCTGTTGGTAAACGATGACCAACACAAACTGTGCAGCAGCAGATGAGCTATCGTCTCTGACTTTACATCTACAAGGTGGACTGACAAGGTAGGAGTGTCTAATAGAGTGGACAGTGAGTGGACACAGTGTTCAAAAACTCCAGCAGCACTGCTGTGTCTGATCCACTCAGACCAGCGCAACACACACTAACACACCACCACCACGTCAGTGTTACTGCAGTGCTGAGAATGATCCACCACCCAAATAGTACCTGCTCTGTGAGGGTCCATGGGGGTCCTGACCACTGAAGAACAGGGTAAAAGGGGGCTAACAAAGTATCAGAGAAACAGATGGGCGTAGAAACAAGGAGGTGGTCAGAATGTTATGCCTGATTCGTTTATATATACATTTTAAAGTGATTTAGTCTTCTATAAATCTACACCAACTACAAATGTGAACGTGGAAATGCAGCTTTATCATAAAATCACAGCTCAGTTAAAGAGAAGCTGTTCTTGTTTAATATCTTAATAACAGCTGCCATCTAGTGGCCACAAATTGTAATGACAATCTCCTAACTGAAGACTTATCACTATAAATCTGCAGTCCAGATGTGATAAAGCAGCTGGATCTCTCACCTTTCTGCTCCTCGGTGGCTTGCTTGGTGGTTCGGACTGGTGAAGGTTCATCGACTTTCAGAGTCTGGACCAGAGCCTCCGGAGTGATTTTGGTCCCGGAAAATATTCCCTTTGGGAAGTTAAAGGCCTGCTGGAGAGTAAAGTGAATGAGATGTGAAACCTAAAGCTGTTACTTGGTTACTGTGACCTGGTCTGTTCAAATGGCTGGACATCCATATAAATGGAATGACATAGAAAATAACGTCAGACTGAAACTGCTGAAAAACTACTGGAGCTTTGGAGCAGTGGACGTTTCACGGCGCTGCCCACTTCTTCATGCCATACTGGTACCAGGGTAAGAGGGTCCATTCACTGTTCACTTTATTGGAAACACCTACCCTTTGCTTTCACTAACGGACCACTTTATTAGAAACACCCACTTTGAGCTTCTAATAATTGGCCACTTTATTAGAAACACCTACGCTGTGCTTCCACTCACTGGCCACTTTATTAGAAACACCCACCTTGTCCTTCCATTAACTGACCACTTTATTAGAAACACCTACCCTGTACTTTCACTAACTGACCACTTTATTAGAAACACTCACCTTGTCCTTCCATTAACTGACCACTTTATTAGAAACACCTACCCTGTACTTTCACTAACTGACCACTTTATTAGAAACACTCACCTTGTCCTTCCATTAACTGACCACTTTATTAGAAACACCTACCCTGTGCTTTCACTAACTGACCACTTTATTAGAAACACCCACCCTGTGCTTTCACTAACTGACCCTTGTGCTTCTACTAACTGGCCACTTTATTAGAAACACCCACCTTGTGCTTCCACTAACTGGCCACTTTATCAGAAACACCTAAACATAGCTCCACTACATAGGGCCACAATTACAGACTACAGCTCAACTGTTTCTGTAAAATATATCAACCCTCCTCTGCCCCAACCCCCACTGGTCAGCTTCTGACCACAGGAAGGCGCAAATTTCCGTTCCACCTTAAATGGGCAGCAGACACATTCTGGCGCCGCGCTATTTCAGCAAAATTCGACCCTAAAGCCGACCAAAGAGGAGGTGCTGCTGGAGGTTTAACACACACAGTGGAACCCCACCCAAAAATATCCAGCCAAGAGCGGCCCTGTAGTCAGAAACGGATCACTGCTGAAGGGCTGAGGGTCTCGGTACCTTTAGGTCCGGGGTCTCCTCAGCAGGTCTGGCTGGCTGTGGTTCTGGTTGAGTTGCAGGCTTTATTATCGTGTTTGGCTCCTTTAACTGCGCGTTTACAGGCGCTTTCTCCAGCTTCTGTGAGGAGCCGCTCTGCGTCTCCACCCTCACAGCTCCGTGGTGAAGCTTCTGTCGCGCCCGCTTTATTTTTCCTACCATTTCTGCTCTGATTTACCGCTTTAACAGAAACTTCTCTGCTCTTTAAACCGCGTGGTTTGTTTTGGTAATTCACATGTTTCAGTGAGCGCGTCGCTCTAAAGCGTCCGGAGTGCAACACTGCAGACAATCTCAGTTCCGGTTCAGAGCAGTTAAAGGGCAACTCCACCGATTTTTCAAATATTCTCCATATTTAAATGGTTAAGATATATAAACAGTCATTCAGAGTGGTTTGGTGTGAAATGCTCCGTTCTGGAGAAACTAGAGAATTGTTCGCAGTGGTGGTGATAGGAACCAGACGTCCACCTCTAAAAGCTCCCTCACAGAAAGTTACTACATGAGATGGTTATGAATTCACTGCCTGATGACTGAGACGCTGTTTTATGATAGTTTTGAGAAGATTTTGGCCTTAAACTCCATTCATGGTGGAGGGATACATGATATGCAGGGTGTTGTGAGGCAAAATAGTCCCCAAAGAAAACTTATTATTTCATATTTTCCACTATTTTCCATCATCAACATTCCATATAAACTCAGAAGACTCGTGTAGGTTCACTGGTGGTTCTGGATAGTAAATAAAATGTCTATATTTGTGTTGTAGTCATGGCGACCCCTGGTTCCTATCACCACCACTGTAAAGACATCTGAACCATTTCACACCAAACCGCTCTGAATCTCTGTTTACAGCTCACACACTGAGTTATGCAGAAATTTTGAAAAATTGGTAGAATTCTCCTTTTTTAACATTTTTAAAATTCACCGATTTTTAAAATTTGCTGCATAATTGACTTGTTGAGATTGAGAAAAGGTTGAGAAATACGTTTTCTTTGGGAACCATTTTGCCTCCCAACTTCCTGCATGTATCCCTCCACCATGAATGGATTAAAATACATTTCAAGCCAAAACTTTATCACAAAACTATCATAATACAACGTCTCAGACATCAGGCAGCGCATTCAGAACCATTTCATACAGTACAGTAAAGTCTATGATGTGGCTTTTAGAGGCATTAAACTCTTCAGATGTCTGGTTCCTATCACTACCACTCATTTGACTGGAGACTCGTTTGTATTGAGGAGCAGCCCAAGCAACAAGCAGATCAACTGTCAGTCATATTTGTGGTATTAATCAGTCTGATTAGTCTGGTCTAGTTTTCATTTAGTACATTTAATGATCAATTGTTTCTCAAATAAACGATTCCTCAATAATCTAAATCACAAAGCTTATTAATCCCTAAAATATTACATCTATCCCTGTCTGAATAAACATATCTAGCAATTTAGTAAGTCATATAATAATGAGGACGTTTTCCATAATTATGACCCTGTATCTCATAATTACTTAATATCTTATCTTAATAACAATATATCATTATCATAATTATAAGATTCTAAGTCAATTTTCATATACTAAGTCATAATCATGAGATATTAATTCATAATTATGAGATAGTAAGTCATAATTGTCAATTATGAGATAAGTCAAAATGAGATAGTAAGTCATTAATTATGAAAAAGTATCAGTTATAAGTCATTATTATAAGATGCTAATTCATAATTATGATATGATTGTAAGTTATAACTATGACATAGCAAGTCATAATGAGATGCTAAGTCATAAGTATGATATAGTAAGTCATTACAATGAGATGCTAAGTCATAAGTATGATATAGTAAATCATTATGAGATGCTAAGTCATAAGTATGATATAGTAAATCATTATAATGAGATGCTAAGTCATAAGTATGATATAGTGTCATTATGAGATACTAAGTCATATGTGAGATAGTAAGTCATTATAAGGATATGCTAAGTCATAATTATGAGATAGTAAGTCATTATAAAGAGATACTAAGTCATTATAAAGAGATACTAAGTCATAATTATGAGATAGTAAGTCATTATAATGAGATGCTAAGTCATAATTATGAGATAGTGAGTCATTATGAGGTAATAAATCATAATTATGAGATAGTAAGTCATTATTATTAGACGCTAAGTCATAATTATGAAGTCATCATTATGAGATGCTAAGACATAATTATGAGATAGATGCTGTCATAAAGTATTAAAGCTCTTTTATTATCTTACACTGTACCAAAGCTGGTGGCCTGGCTCAGATCAACACTGCAGATCAAAGGAAATCAGAAGAAATTACTCAAAATCATCTTTATTCCAGCAGGACGTGGCAAATATATGAATAAACATCTCTCACAATACAAACAACTTACATTCGTACAACAGCAGACGAGAGCAGCGGTACAAAAAGCGTCTGAAGGCCCGAGTCGCGCAATAAGAACTGGTCTATAATAAACTACAATAAAAGCACAGAGTATAAAAATAATACTATTAACCAGCAGCACAAATACAAAATTACAGCAGGTCATGCAGCTCAGAGCAGAGAACCTTTACAGAACATTTCAAAAACCCTGACAGAAATGCGGTGAGTGTGAAATCTTACATTGAGACCAATGAGCAGCACTATACAGCCCTGTAACAGCTCTAAATAAATAAATAAATACATAAATAAATAAATAAATAAATAGCTGCAGACCCTGGTGAGGGGTGGGGGGGGGGTATAGCTGTAGTCTGTGGTTGGGACACTTTAAATTTTCACCGTGTCTCCTCCAGTGTCTGTAACCGAGCCCGTCCTCACAGGCCGCTGCTGGTCGTGGTGACTGTGTAATGGACCCCGTTCGTCTGCCTTCAAGCCCCCATTACGGCTCCCGTCTGGACTAAACGAGGCACCGTAAATGCCTCTCGTTTAGATTAGTGTCAATTAGTGCAGCTTTACTTCAGCGACGGTCCTTCAAAGCTCTGTGTCTCTTTCCTGTAGTGCTCATACAGCTACGCTCCTTAAAAACCTCAAGGGTTCTTTAGTAAAGTGAAGGGTTCTATACAGAGCCAAGAACACTCAAAGAACTCTCTGCATTATTAAAGTGTTCTTTGCATCGTGAAATGTTTCCTCAGATTGATGGAGAACGTGTTGTAGATGGTTCGATATAGAACCCTTTTTGAAAAGGGTTCTATATAGCACCAAAACGGGTTCCGCTATTCTTAGAAGCCAAAGAACCTTTTTTGGTATTATATAGAACCCTTTTTGCTAAGACTGTACGGTTCTTTATAGAAGCTTTTTGAAAATGGTTCTATATAGTGCCAAAAAGGGTTCTACTGTTACAAAGAACTCTCTGCATGATTAAAGAGTTCTTTGCATCGTGAAAGGGTTCCTCAGATTGATGGAGAATGTGTTGTAGATGGTTCTATATAGAACCCTTTTTCAAAAGGGTTTGATGTAGCACCATTAAGGTTCCACTATTGTTACAAGCCAAACAACTCTTTTGGTACTATATAGAACCCTTTTTGCTAAGAGCATGTGGTTCCTTATAGAAGCTTTTTGAAAATGGTTCTGTATAGTGTCAAAAAGGGTTCTACTGTTACAATGTCAAGGTTATAACAACAGAAGAACCCTTTTGGTGCTGTGTAGAACCACATACAACACATTCTCCACCAATCTGAAGAACCGTTTCACCAAGCAATGAACCATTTAATCATGCAAATGGTTCTTTGAATGTTCATGGTTCTATACAGAACCACTGTCTATTAAAGAACCACTGGAGAACCATCTTTTCTAAGAATGTACAAGACACCTACATACACCCTTCATTACAACTGACATAAACCTACATAAACATTTACTCCAGTTTATTCAAACAGGCGTAATTTGTCATAAAGGTTGAATTCGCCAACTTTGATGTCAAGGTAGTAAAACATCTGTCAGTGATATTGATTTTCTGAGGTTCTCTTGATGTTCTAGGGTGCTTGTTTAAGAGTTTGCATTTTTATATTTTATTTATTTGTTTTCAAAACCTTCAGTAGCTGTGCACCGTTTACACTATCGAGCCAAATCGCTTCCTTCACCAGCTGCTGGCCTCTTTGGGGGCGCGTCGCTAAATCACACGCCGGCTGAGGCGCAAAGAGGGAAAGTGTGTGCAGAGTCACAGGCCAGTTCTGAGCCCCAAAGCAGCCGAATATCATTTTTAAACTTAAATAATCGAATCTTCCAGTGTTAAATCTCAGCGCCCGACTGTGGGTGGAACACAGCCAGTCACCGCAACACAGATCAACACTCTGACTGGCCTCCACTCACTCACTTGCACACAGATCGACCAGAACGAGAGAGCAGAGAAGTGATGTGTCTCAGTGGTTTGATTACTGCACATTATGACGTGTTCTGTTCGATGTAAATGAGCAAATTCAATTTTAAATAAAGGCGAATCATTCTGCATGTCACATATTCTCTGTATAAAACACCTTAAAACAACTTCCCGCATCCCTGACCGTGTTTTTCTTTCATTTGAAGTCGACTTGTGGCATTATTAAGGGGTTAAGTACCAAAAAAAGGCTAAATTTATTCTTCACGACCATCTTCCATCCTCTCTTTAACACTTATGATTAGGTTGAACGATTAATCGTTGCAGTATTGAAATCGCTATTTTAAAAGGGGCATTTTTCAATGTTTCAAATATGTCTTCAGTTTAAAGTGGGGAAGTAAAACAGAGCTAGTGAGCTGGGAAAAGTGGATACGCTGGCAAAAAAGGAGCATAATTCACAAAAAAGAATCACATCTAAATTGGAACCACAATATTGGTCAGACAAATCCAAATTAGATATTATCTCCAAATATTTGAGCCCTATGTATGATTACACAGGCTGTTTTTTGTTAATAAAGCAATGAACCGCGAGAGGCCGCGCGTTACTGTGATTTTACCACAGGGAACGGTGTTCTTAGGCACGACGTGAAGTGATAAAATCACTGTAACGCACGGCCTCGAGTGGTTGTTGCTATATGAAAACGGCAGCCAACATAAAATATGATAAAACACACATTTTTTCAGAAAATTATTTAACAACATAAACAAGTATTCTGCCAAGAAATGTAGTTCCTTTAGTGTGTGGTATCATTGCCAAATAGCCGTCACTATTTACTGCAGTCTCTTCATGAACTTTTTAACTTTTTGTCGTATAACAGTGAAGATATGATAACACAGCACTGTTTAATGCAGAGCTTTCGCTTTATAAGTACTTTTTAGTTACTAAATCACCACCGAGAGTCTTATTTAGCACCAATCCAGCGGCGCCCTCTTCTCACACTGGGGCTGAATGTCAAATGCCTTCCTGCTCCCTACATAGTGCACTATGTAGGAGTTTAAATACTGGATCCTGCAGCCCAACAGAGCAAAACACAGCTAAGAAACAGTCATTTGGGATTCAGACACATCCACACTCGATACATGATGCACTGTTTGGCTGTAGAGGCTAGAATTTCTAAACTTTCATAGCTAGAACACTACTTAGGGAGTACAGAGCCGTTTGGGATTCAGCCTGGGTTTGATGCGACTTCTGAGTAAAACACGAACATTTGAAGTGTGTAAGATATTCAAGTGACATTTTTTAGTGTTTTATATTGATGTTTTTCAGTGAATCGTATCGTGAGTACTTTAATTCAAGTCTGTGATATTAATGATGGAGCTGTTTAGGCTGTTGGCTCTTTTAGCCTGTTAGTTATCTGACTAGCCTGGTTCTAGTTAAGAAAATAAGTTGTCAGCCCGTCAGTTTAAACAGAACCGGGTTTTTACTTCATCAATATTAGTGGTGCTCCATACGAGCAGCATTAGAGTCAAAGATTATTCAATTATCAGCACAGAGTTTTTCACGCCGTGGCTCAGCAATACAGAGTTCAGTTGCTGTAAAGTGGTCGATGTGTGTATATCGTGTATTTTACAAATGAACGTGGCTCAGCCAATCAGATTTTAGGACCAGAACTATCAGTCTTTTAATCTGCCTTTCAGACTGATTATGCAGTTTTATGCAAAGTTTGAACATTTCAGGTCACGTGACAAGTTTTTTTGATTTTCTACGTGAAAATAAGTGAACACGTCGTCTACAGAGAACACACTTAAATATGGCAATTATTCAGCAAATTTTAGCATGCAGTTTCTATTTATTTGCTGAGTTTAACATATTGGAAAAAAAAGCTAAAATATAGGTGCTATAACTTTTTCACAGGCCATGTTTTATGCTTTATTGTTGTTTCCAATACGATAAACTCAAATAAACAGTAATTGTGCATTAAAACGTGCAGATATGTGTTCTCTGTAGAACTTATTTTCACTTAGAAAATCAACAAAATGTACAATTTACGTACGACTGTATGTAAATGAGCTCTGTTCTGATTGGCTTTCCTGTATTATGTCTCATTCTGCAACACTCCTTACAACTTCAGTGTGAATGGGCGGAGCTTACCTGCTGCAAGCTGAATAAATAAAATAAATAATCTTATCGTATGTAAATGTGTCGGTATGTAAATGCGTTTGTGACATCACAAAAACAATGAACTCAAAGCAGCTGTTTTTGCAGCCTAGTTAAACAGAATGTGTGGACGTTTTGAAACTTGTACAGTGTTTTTTGGACCCTAATGGGGGAAATCTGGTTCTCCATGATATGTGCCCTCACTGATAAGCATTCATCTAGGTCCTTATGCCTGTTTGGCTGGGATGCAGCACCACCTGCACTTTGTTTGGAGAGTTGCACATTACGTGTAGGCAAAAAGTCATGTGACCAATAGTAAGTCGGTGGCATGCAACATAAAACCAGAAAGCAAAAAAAGCCCTATAAGTCTGAATTCTTTACCTATAGTAGAAGCAAAGCTAAGACAACACATTGGACACTGAAGGACGTTAGACATTAAACCCCTTTTGTCACACAAGCATTAGTCTAATAGGTTTAAAAAATATTTGGCGCACTATTTCTTGTTCTATCGATTATGTTACCTCTATAGAAGGCCGGTTATATTCAACTCCCAGACAGGCTTTAACTGAAAATGAACCTATTTCTGGTTATTCTACACCATATACCATCGGCAACGCGTGGTCAGTATGATGGTGGTGACTTGGGAAGACCTGGAACTGTCTGTGAAAGCCCTTTGTGTCTCTGTAACGCCATTTCCGCAGTGAGCAGGTGTTAAGTTCCCTCTTTGATCCTGATATGAACAAAGAGAGAGGATGGCGGGATGCTGGTGCCGTCTTTCGACAGGAGGTGGATGTGCCGATATCCTGGAACAGAGAAAAACAGAGAAAAATGTTGTGAGGGGTGATGATACATATATTTTCGATACGTTTTTGCGCTCTGGGGTCAAGATTTGGTTCGATTTTTGATATTTAATGGGTTAAACACAAACGTTCTAAGCCGCTTTATCGTCCTGGGTGTAATCGCAGTTCCGGGACACGAGACTGTGGTTCGTTTGTATTGTATTGTTTCTGTCTCGGTTTCAGATTCGTTTACACCCCCAGCACAGACAGAAGCAGTGGAGCTCCTCAGTACCTTGCTGTATGCAGGAGAAAGGCAGTGTATACTGTCCTATGAAGTCGTTCTTGGATGTCTTGTCATGGTCCTCCACTACGAAGCGCACCAGGGTGAGTTCAGGAACGTGGATGGTGAACTTGAGAGTTTCGCGCCACACTGGGTTAAAGCCTGCGGGGGGGGGATGGGGGGGATTTTAGTACTGAAATTGCTTCAGATTTCATTGATACTGTTTGCTGAATCAAATCAAACCAATTCTACTTAGATACTTAATCTAGTTTACACTTATGTTGACTCTTTGAAGCATCTTTTACTGTGACTCCATAAATCCAAGTTCACTGGAATTCATTGAGAAAATCACTATTCAATTATGGAATGAAACATTTTTACCCAGCTTATCCGTTCAACTGACCATTGTTGTCGATGTGTCGGGTCTCCTGCTTGGCCTGATCCTTCATGACGCCGTGTATCTCCACCCGGACCAACGGGTCCACAATAGAGCCTTCCTTTTGGTTTATCTTCGGCAGCTGCTGACCACTGATCACCTGATATTAAAGACACACAATTACCGTCCTGTGCACATACACTGGATCTAGACGGCTCTCATGAGTGAAGCTTAAATAAGCTTCATAGAAAAGCACTGACCGATAGAAGGCTACTTTTCAGCATTTACAGAGAGATGTCCACGAAAGAAGACAGTCTTTCTAAACGGAAGGTGATCCAAGAGCTTTATATGGCAGAGAACCGTGATCTCTCACCACGAGATGTATGTCAGGTGGAGGTACACAAACATTCTCACAATCGCGTTTTGAAAGCAGCAAAAATAGTGCACTACTTTTCAAATGTAGACGAAAAGTAGTGCACTACTTCTTAAAAAGTAGCTAAAAATAGTGCACTACTTTTCAAAAAGTATCCAAAAAAATAGTGCACTACTTTTCAAAAAGTATCCAAAAAGTAGTGCACTACTTCTTAAAAAGTAGCTAAAAATAGTGCACTACTTTTCAAAAAGTATCCAAAAAGTAGTGCACTACTTCTGAAAAAGTAGCTAGAAATAGTGCAATAGCTAAAAAGTAGCCACTACTTTTTCCGGAAAAGTAGCTAAATTGTAGCTAGCTACTCATTTTTCAGTAGCTATCCCAACTCTGCTCTTGTGCAAGAGTTTGATGGAAATAAGCTGCCTGGCAGCCAAAATCGGCAATTTTTTTTTACACATTTTCATTTTATCGTTTGCAATTTGCATGAAAAATCAATGGAAACTATATTGCATTGTCTTTCCTCCTCCAAGCTGAGCTGCACCAGAGTGTCCTACTTTACAAAGCCTTTGGGTCTGAGGGGTTTATACAGTAGGGCAAACGCAGAGCCCAGATAAAAATCTGATCATGACGTTTTGTGAATTGAAAGGTGTAAAATCCAGGCTGTGAAAGTCGCACAGTAGCCTGTAGAGTCCTCGGTGCTGTTACCTCCACTGCGAGTTTCACAGGCCTGTATCCGTCTCGGAGCTCGGGATGATCAGGATCGTACTGTTTCTCCATGCTGCGCATGAACGCCGGCTTCAGCACGTAACCGCAGCGACCGTTCTGACTGAAGAGGCCGTCGTTCAGGTCCATTTCTGTGCCGGCCGTCTGGACGTTCAGAGCAACTGGAGCAGAGAAGACAGAGATTCATTCATTACTGCTGTCCTATGCAGTACTGAGATCACAACAGTGCTGTGATGCTCCAAACAAATCACATCATTTTAAATCTTCTAAATTAGTTTCTCTGGGTGTTCAATACATTCGCATGGACAGACACATGTAAACAGTATGTTTGGACAACATTTAATCAACATTTCACTGATATGCAGTCAAAATATGTAGCAACATATGCACAGTATGGTGTTTTGTTGGTTCCGAGCACCGAGGCCCAATCCCATTTCTTATGTTTACCCCTACCCCTTGTTTTCGTGGGTCACCTTGCAACTTCTAACTGAGTTACAGTGTAGTGGTTGAAATCTTCCCTCTGAAATGGGACCCTCAAATAAAAAGAGCATCACTTCATTAACAGCTACCAGCGCTGCTCTGTAGGCGACCCTGCCAGTCTGCAGTGACAGCAGAGGAGGGTAAAGTTCAGCTCCTCACTGCTGGGCTTTAGTTACATTTAGGGCATCATATGCCTTCAAAGAGGGGGGCAATTATTTATTATCACCCACCCCTAATTCTTCAGTGATATGAGGCTGCAGCCTCTTCTTCAAATTTTCCTTGAGGCACCAGAATGTAATTGCTCCACCATTTAAGGTGGAACAGGAAATTTAGCTAGCTAGCTACCGAGACTACTAGCAATTGTTTATGCTTGTTATGAAGAAAAGAACCATAATACATTTAAACGACATTAAACTAAGATAAAACAATGGTTATCATAATTTTTAACAGAGGAAATTCTCACATTTGTGGGTTTCTTTGGTCTCTGGTGCAGGAATCTGGCCAGTTTTTCTGTTTTTCTCATAACTCTCTGTTTGGAGTCTCTGAAAAACCTCCGTTTGGAGGGTCATGTAGCCCCAACACTTCGCCCTACCCCTCTATCTCAACAAGAATCAGGACACCCTACACTTAGAATGCACAAAATGGAGGGGAAGGGCTAAGTGGTAGGGGCGAGGGGTGAAATGAGATAGGGCCTAAATCAGTTTCATGATAATTTTGGGCCGCCAGAACTGCTTCTGCTACAGTGAAGATACTGTCTGCAATAAAACATTTCTGATTTGGTAGATTTATTTATGTAAATAAAGCCTTTACGGTTAATGGCAAGGTCAGTGATTTTTAAGTCAGAACACATCATATCTGGTGTAATTCTCCTCACATTCTGGCAGCCGTCAAAAAAGTTATAAGCTAAAAAGTAAAAATTCAGTCTCTTTGGCGCCTCAAATGAGAGAAAATTAAACAAGCACATGGGGGTGGGGGTGCTGTGAGAGGAGGGGGAGGGACTGTGGGTGTTTAAGGGGTCGTAGTACCACATCACCTAATATCTGTATGACCATGAATAAACGGCGAACTGTGTGACATTAATAACGAAATGGCTCCCGTGTGGTGCAACCATCATCAGGAGATCATGAGCTCAATCCCTGGTGATGCTACTGCCATTCGGTGGCCGGGAGTCCAAGACGGCACAGTTGGCCTCGCTTTCTCTGGGTGGGTAGGATGACCATCACTCAGTGTGATGCTAGTCATCACATGTAAGCTGACGTAACAGAACTGGTGGTTAGTGTTCTCCTCTGAGCGTGTTCGACTGTCCAATGCCGTTGTGTTAGCGGCAGGTCGAAAAGATGCAGTGGTGCTTCACAGGTCTCGGAGGAAGCCTGTGCTAGCTTTCGCCCTCCTAGCGCTGGTGGTATTGTGTGATTGGGTAAGTCCTAACTAGTGGCTGGAACTGGAAACAACTAAATTGGGAAGAACTTTGGAAGAAATTCCAAAAAATTAAGTGAAAAAGAAAAGCTAATGTCCCTGTAAAGGGAGGAAGGTAGTATGGCCAAGGATTACTGGCACGGGCAAAAATAAACAAAAACAAGGAAACAAACACAAATGGTGATGTTCAACCAATCAGACCAAGCCTGCCTGTCAATGACGCTGTCTATCAAGCCTTGTTCACATGCTGAAGTCCACCAAACAAGGTCGGTGTGAAAGCGCCCTGAGTCACTGCTAGAGACTTACCAATTTGGCACCCTGCGTTCCACATCTCCTGTGGGTTAAAGTTGGAGGAGTCGGTTCTAAAGCCGTTGGGATAAACTCGGGTCAGCTGCCGGGCGTTATGATGCACAAACTCTGCTCCTATCCAACAGAGAGAAAAGGAGACGACTGTAAATGGTAGGAATATCGACTATAGCAGGGTTTTATACTGCACTGTATCATTACAACTGGCAACTGTTTCATCAGGAGATGGAAAAACTTACTTTTAACCACATAACTTGAACTGAACCGCTGACAACACTGACTCAAACATATGATTTAGTGATCGTTCTACTTTATTCGGGCTGGTCATTAATTTGTGGGATTTCTCTTGATGTGTGCTGGTCCCGCTCCCGCCCGCTACCGCACAACGCACCGAAAAGCCTTTTACTACTAGGCTTCCATTTTTGTTGCTGCATCAAATGGTTGCCTTTTCTTTCTCTCGTCCACTGAGTGAGGAACAGCGAGCTAAATATCTGACTTAACTTTAAAATATGATTCAGCCTTTCCAACGTTAGCTAGAGCGCAATATAGCTCAAGAGAAAAACTGTTTGAATATGTCATATTGTAGCCTCTTATGCTCCTTGGAACCACTGGTTGTTCCAAAACGCACTTCATCATATTCTTCATAACTTTCATATTTCATAAGCTACATTCTAAAAGTGGGGGTCATATGAGAGCTGTAACTGTCTTCTTTCCAGTCAAATAGATGGGTGATGTAATTTTAAACCCTTATAATAAAAGAAGCTGAACTCACAATTTTTTTTTCTACTGAAAGTCGACTCATTTTTCCACAAATCTGGGCTATAAACTATAAACAGATGGCGTCTCTTCAGTGATCTGCTCTGTAAACATTATTTTTATAAAATAAAACAGAGCGTCTAAGATTTTTGACTTTAAGCAGTAAATTGTAAGAATATAGCAATATGTGTCATAAAACACGTTAATTTGAAAAAAAAAAAAAGAATAAAATAAAAATTTTTATTTATTTCATGCAGTTACTGAATAATTTGCCTTACGATTTGGTCATGTAAATTCAGATGGACAAACCAAAATATACCCTGGAGAGTAAGAGGTTAATTGTATTACATATGTACACTGTTTTAAGGCAGGTCTTAACAGTCAGTGTGCCCTTTAAGTTACAGGAGCAGTTTGGACCTGACCAGTTAAAGGTTAACAAAAATGTTCTTCTTGCGTTCTATCTTAGGATTTCAGTCACGTGACTTTTCTGTTGTGGCCGCCATATTTGGGACCAAATTTCTGGCTTAGCTGTTCCGCATGAACGTAACTGGAGGTGAAAGATGGCTAAAATTACTCTCCTTACTTTAGAAGAGGAAAACGTGACCTCAACAAAGTTGATAAAATAGTCTGTGATCCTTATACAGTTTCCCCCTGAACTCCTGGTCCCACTTAAACTGGCGGAAAGTCACCAAATTTGTGTTTTCCTGACATTTATATTGATCTCATACTCAGCCCCTCTCCCTGTTCTGGAGAGTCTCTCACAGCATTTAAAAGCACAGAAGCCCACTGGCTCTTCACGTCAGGGTGGGTAAAGGACCCCATGGTACTGCACAAAGACGAGAAACACTGCTTTACTTTAGCTGATGTTAACAGAGAGAGATAAACAGTCGCCCCCTAGTGGAGCTGCAGACCGCCGGTATAACTTTACTCTCTGTTTCTGATTTAAATGACGTCTGAATGGAGAAACATAAGCGTTAAATATCAGACTGAATGTCGTGGGTCGGAAAACGACGTCGTGTTTCGACAGACGTGATTCTGTAAGTTTGCTGGTGCAGTTAGTTCAGAGTTCAGCTCCAGTCCTGAAACCCCTGCACTGCATAACTGTGGTTTCCTGGTTAAAATTCCTGATATTATTAGCTAATTAATCCCTTCTTGAGCTGAACGAGGTGAGAACAGCAGAGAGGAACACTAAACTATACAGTGCAGCGGCTCCAAGCCTGGAGTGAAGACTGAATTAAAGGTTTGTGTGTCTCTCGTCGTTTCGCAGGTGAATCATTCACAAAGCACAGCTGATTGAAGGCGTCATGCAGCACAGCCACTCCCTGATTCAGTCCTCAAAACGGCAGCGACTATACAGTGCGACGTCATGTGAAACGCAAGAATACGCAGGTCACTCTAGGTTTTGTGGGACGTTTCACAAATCAGAAACGATGTTTTATGCATGCTGTGATGGATGGGATGAAACTTTGGATGAACTGAGGTGTTTTACCTGCGTCCTTCATGTGCTTCTTGGCTTTGGACTCAGTGAAGGAGGAAATCTCGTAGAACTTGGAGTGGACGCTCGAGTGCTTGAAGCTGTTGAAGCGGACACTCTTGCAGTACACCACGCAGTCCGACAGCTCTTTAGACAAACGCTGCTTCGATTTCTGAGCACAGACACAGTTTGGATGTTAGTAGTAGTAATAGAACAAGAACAGATTAGAGATAGTTATATTAGTTAACAGTGACCATTTTATCAGAAACCCCTCCCTCCACCAGCTGCCCCTCGCGGCTGGCACTTCATTAACAGACAGTCTCTGACAACTTAGTCACTCTTGGCTGGATATTTTTCGGGTGGAGCTTCATTCTCAACCTAGCAGTGACACTGATGTGGACAGGTGTTTAATAAAGTGGCCAGTTAGTGGAAGCACATAGTAGGTGTTTCTAATAAAGTGGCCAGATAGTTGAAGCACAAAGTAGGTGTTTCCAATAAAATGGCCAGTGAGTGGAAGCACAAGGTGGGTGTTTCTAATAAAGTGACCAGTTAGTAGATGCACAAGGTGGGTGTTTCTGATAAAGTGGCCAGTTAGTAGAAGCACAAGGTGGGTGTTTCTAATAAAGTGGCCAGTTAGTGGAAGTACAAGGTGGGTGTTTCTGATAAAGTGGCCAGTTAGTGGATGCACAAGGTGGGTGTTTCTAATAAAGTGGCCAGTTAGTGGAAGTACAAGGTGGGTGTTTCTAATAAAGTGGCCAGTGAGTGGAAGTACAAGGTGGGTGTTTCTAATAAAGTGGCCAGTTAGTGGAAGTACAAGGTGGGTGTTTCTGATAAAGTGACCAGTTAGTAGAAGCACATGGTGGGTGTTTCTAACGAAGTGGCCAGTTAGTGGATGCACAAGGTGGGTGTTTCTAATAAAGTGGCCAGTTACTGAAAGTACAAGGTGGGTGTTTCTAATAAAGTGGCCAGTTAGTGGAAGTACAAGGTGGGTGTTTCTAATAAAGTGGCCAGTTAGTAGAAGTACAAGGTGGGTGTTTCTAATAAAGTGGCCAGTTAGTGGAAGTACAAGGTGGGTGTTTCTAATAAAGTGGCCAGTTAGTAGAAGCACAAGGTGGGTGTTTCTAATAAAGTGGCCAGTTAGTGGAAGTACAAGGTGGGTGTTTCTAATAAAGTGGCCAGTTAGTGGAAGTACAAGGTGGGTGTTTCTAATAAAGTGGCCAGTTAGTGGAAGTACAAGGTGGGTGTTTCTAATAAAGTGGCCAGTAGAAGTACAAGGTGGGTGTTTCTTAAAAAGTGGACAGTGAGTATGAACGAATGAGTTAGTGGTGCCTGATTCGCCTTTCAGCTCTTATTGTGACATAAACCACTTTGAGTGGCATTTACTGTTGATGACATGAAATAAATTGCTGTTATAGTGATATCAGTAGCTGTAATCAGTCCAACTGTGCCAGCAGGCACACTCCAGTGGGTCACTCATCCACACACACAGAGGCGTGTGTCCAGCGAAGCTTTACGGTCAGAGGCTCAGAGCCAGATAGATTAGCGATGCTGCTCTCCACTACACAGCTGCTCTAAAGGAAAACTGATCTCACTCTGTGCTCAAACTGCAGCCAGATAAACAGCTATCAAACAAGCGCACACACACAAACATCCCAGCGGACAGGCTTCCATCAAACCCACATTATGCAGAGCGACAGGGACTCCACCTGGCACCGAGACGCACGCACACCCCACCTGCTGGGTTTACCTGACAGACCTGCCATGCAACATGACACTCTACCTGCCACAACACAAATATAGTCATTTTATTTACTATCCAAAACCACCAGTGAACCAACACGAGTCTTCTGAGTTTATATGGAATGTTGATGATGGAAAATAGTGGAAAGTCTGAAATAATAAGTTTTATTGGGGACTATTTTGCCTCAGAACACCCTGCCTAGTATGTATCCCTCCTCCATGAATGGAGTTTAAGGCCGAAATCTTCTCAAAACTATCCTAAAACAGTGTCTCAGTCATCAGGCAGTGAATTCATAACCATTTCATGTAGTAACTTTCTGTGAGGGAGCTTTTAGAGGTCTGGTTCTTATCACCACCACTGTGACCAATTCTGACTCAGAATCAGGCTTTCAGTGTACTTCTTCTTGCATCAGCTTCAGTGTTAGGAATGGTCACAAAATTGCTGGATGAAAAGGTAAAGGAACCCCCGCACCAACCCCCCCAATCTTTGGAGTGTGGGAGGAAACCAGAGCACCCAGAGGAAACTCCACCCAGAAAGGATCCTGGTTGCCCAGCCAGGGAATCGAACCCAGGCCAATATTTCCACTTCACTTTGCAGTGGTCAGATTTAGGAAATACTATCATAAACTGAACTAAATACTAAATTAAACAGGACTAATTATGCTCTCTTTTAATCAAGCATGCCTGTTTTTGTACTGACGATATTCACAAGAAGCTCAGGAAAGCATACTGTGACATCATGATAACACTAGTTGTTGCCATATTGCCCAGACCTAGGTGACATAATGACATGAATTCATAATAGATGGCCAATTAGTGGAAGCACAAGCTGGGTGTTTCTAATAAAGTGGCCAGTTAGTGGAAGCACAAGGCAGGTGTTTCTAATAAAGTGGCCAGTTAGTGGAAGCACAAGGTAGGTGTTTCTGATAAAGTGGCCAATTATTAGAAGCTCAAGGTGGGTGTTTCCAGTATATTGGCCAGTGAGTGGAAGTACAAGGTGGGTGTTTCTAATAAAGTGGCCAGTTAGTGGAAGCACAAGGTGGGTGTTTCCAGTAAATTGGCCACTGAGTGGAAGTACAAGGTGGGTGTTTCTAATAAAGTGGCCAGTTAGTGGAAGTACAAGGTAGGTGTTTCTAATAAAGTGGCCAGTGAGTGAAAGCACAAGGTGGGTGTTTCTAATAAAGTGGCCAGCTAGTGGAAGCACAAGGTGGGTGTTTCTAATAAAGTGGCCATTATTGCCATATTGCCCAGCCCCAGGTGTCATAATGACACAAATTCATAACAGATAGATGTTTTTTATGACGGGCGAATGGCATCACCTTATTTCCTCCCTCAAATCGAAACCATTAATTCAAAGAAACGGCAGTGATGCAAAGTGAAGCTTACGCTGCAGTTTTTTTCTGGATGGTGTGAACCAGACAAGGCAGGCAGTAAAAAAGGGGAAGATACATGATCTCTGACTGCAATTACCCAGAGTTCAAACGACCAAGTGTCCCAGTCCATCAAACTGCACCGCCGCGCACATACACACGCCTCTCACATCACAGAGAGGCCGAGCGAGGAAAGTGTGATGTTGCCTCTTCCTGATCTAATCTCTCTCTCTCTTTCTCTCATTTACTCTCTTCTTCTCACCCTGCCTGTCTTTCTTTCTCTGCCTCTCTTATCTACAGCTCAATCGCAATCTCTTGCTGTATCTCTTCCTTTCCCTCTCTCTCTCTCTCTCCCTCTCTCTCTCCCTCTCTCTCTCTCTCTCTCTCTCTCTCTCTCTCTCTCTCTCTCCTCTCTCTCTCTCTCTCTCTCTCTCTCTCTGTATACATAACACCGTGAGCATATCCCTCTCTCCTCTCGTCTTCTCGTGTGCGTCTGGTATCGGCCCCACACTCACCCCATCCATCTTTCATTACCCGTTAATCCGTCCGTTTCCACTGCCCGGCCCCGTCCCATCGGCTGTCGCGCATCAAAATATCATGTGGTGTTTCATTTTTCTTGAATTCCAGTTTTTCCTTGAAGTCCTCTTATGATGTTTGTGTGCCAAAAAAACAGTCATAATTCATTTTACATGACCTTTTTCCAACCACTCTTTGTCCCTTATGGTTAACAGGTTGGCTTTGTTTTGTTTTTAAGACTGCTAAACTATATGGCCCAAAGTATGTGGACACCTGACCGTCACACCTGTATGAGCTTGTTGGACATCTCATTCCAAAACCAGGGGCATCATCTGGAGCTTCCCTCCTTTGCAGCTCTTCCGGGAAGCTTTCCACAAGATTTTGGAGTGTGTTTGTGGGCATTTGTGTGGTCAGACACTGATGTGCGCTGTGGATAGGGCTGCCCACTGCACTGGGCAAGTGTGCTCACTGCCCCCTAGTGTGTGTGTTCACTAGTGTGTATGTGGGTGCTTCACTGCACAGATGGGTTAAATGCAGAGGTGAATTTCCCTGTTGTCACTGAAGTGCTGCTGTTTCTGGATACTTCCATTTCACAATAACAGCACTTACAGTTGTCTGGGGCAGATCTAGCAGGGCAGGATTTTCACAAACTGACTTAAAAGTCACTTAAAGTCACCAAAAGTTAAAGTCACTGAGCTCTTCAGGACGATCCGCTCTCCTGCCAGTCTGTGGATGTGCGCTTGATTTTATACACGTTAGCAATGGGTGTGGCTGAAACACCCGAGCTCAATAATTAGGAGGGATGTCCACATACTTTTGGCCAAATAGTGTATATGTAAAGGAGCTCTGTTCTGGTTGGCTGCCCTGTATTTGTGCCTCATCAAAAAAGCAGGCCAGGCTGAAATACTCCTTCTAATGTCAGTGTGGATGGGTGGGGCTAAAGTGCTATGGCTCAATAGGGGGATATATGTAAGTTCAAAATAGGCTGTATGTTTCCATGTACGGACTGGAAAATAAATGTTATGTTTTAAAACATGTTATGTTTACATACTACATTAGACTCTTTCATTTAAAAAAAAGTAGGGAAAATAAGATTTTCTATAATAAGAGTCCTTTAAGTGGTGAGCACACATGGCTGGCGGAACCGAATACGGCGGAGGAGTGTGAGTAACAGCGATGGAGGTTATGTAAGGATGATGTGACACACCACACATGAAATTCACACACAGAGGGATTCTGGTGACAGCCTAAAGGCACCTAAAGAGCTGGGCCACTTAAAGTGATACTCTGGATTTCCCATCTTACTCCAAATGTTGTGGATTAACCAAGATGTGTTTGGTGTCTGAAGTTTGCCTCTTCAGTTTTGCACTGGAGCTACGAGGCCAATGTTGCTAATAAGTCATTAAATAAGACTTAAATACTATTTAGACAGGATTAGTTTTCTATAGGGGTAATGTAATTTAACCACTGGACATCTGTAATGTTTATGACCGATTCTCACTGGACAATAAATCACTACATAAACTGAAAATGAACAAACATTCAGCTGCTCACAAATAGAAAACATAGCTAAATGTTTAGTTTGTTCATAATTTTGTCTACCTAGCTGTCCTTAGTACATGAAGTAGGTCATTAACATGGGAATTTACAGCCAACAGTCCACATTTTTGCATAAAATCAAAGTTTTTTTCATCTTATGCTTTTTAATGTTCCGAGTCGTGTGTACAAATATATATATATATATATATCAGTTTGATTTGTGTTACAGTTCGGTTTACAGCTTGGGATTAATATAACTTGGGGTTATTATTATGGATGGTTTTACAGCACAGGATTAATAAAACTTGTGTTTTTTTTCTACAGTTTGTTTTATAAAAGAAAACTAATATGACTTGTGGTTAATTTTACAGTTCTTTCTATAGCATGGGATTAATATAACCTGGGGTTATTATCACACTTGGGTTTATTGCTCAGGATTAATATATCCCAGGATCATTTGTATGGTTTGTTTTACAGCATGGGATTAACATAATTTGAGATTATTTCTACAGCTCACTTTATACCACAGGATTACTTTAAACTGGGGTTATTACTACAGTTTGTTTTATTGCATGAGATTAAACAGGGGTTATTATTACGGTTTATTGCATGGGATTAATATAAACTGGGGTTATTATTACAGTTTATAGCACAGAATTAATATAAACTGGGATTATTAATGTTTATTTGTTTAACTGCACTAGATTAATATAAATTGGGGTTATTATTATGGTTTGTTTTAGTGCGTGGGATTAAACTGGAGTTATTATTCCGATTTATTGCAAGGGATTAACATAAACTGGGGGTTGTTACAGTTTATTGCACGGGATTAATATAAACTGGGGGTTATTACGGTTTATTGCACGGGATTAATACAAACTGGGGGTTATTACGGTTTATTGCACGGGATTAATATAAACTGGCGCTATTATTATGGTTTGTTTTATTGCATGGGATTAATATAAACTGGGGCTTATTATGGTTTATTACACAGGATTAATATAAACTGGGGTTATTATTACAGTTTATTGTATGGGATTTATATAAACTGGGGTTATTATTAAGGGTTGTTTTATACCACAGGATTAATATAAACTGGGTTGTTATTACAGTTTGTTTCATTGCACGGGATTAATATAAACTCAGGTTATTTCTATGGTTCATTTTATGGATAAAAGCCACCAGAACCTTTAGTCTGTAGGGGCACGCAGTCCGAAAAAATCACTGACATGACGGATTTAGATGTGACTTAAATTACTGAGAAACAGTGATTATACAGTTACGTGTAAAACTAACCTGAATAGTACTTTATTTATGTGGTTACTGACCCTGTATTAAAATCTTTGGGCTAAAGTGTGGCTGAAAACGGTAATAACAGTCTGAATCACGAAGCCAGAAAGCTCCACCTTAGGTCTGCGGCGGACGATGTCGTTTTCTTCGTCTATTTCTGCAGGATCATCTTCATCGCTGACCTCCGCCGCCAATGAATCTTCCACAACCCCACTCAGACTCTCCTCCAGACCGCCAATCTTCTTCCCTTTCAGCAGGATTTTACCCTTCAGGTCCTGCACACATACAAGCACATAACCCCACCCCCCATTTTATATAAGCATATACAACCCTGTTTCCAAAAAGTTGGGATGCTGTGCAAAATGTAAATAAACCAAAACGCAATGATGGCCAAATCATTTTAACCCTATATTTAATTGAACATGCAAAGACAACATATCAACTATTGAAACTGAGAGATTTTTTTGGTTTTTGAAAAATATATACCCATTTTTTGGGGAGCTCTGTTTTTTTTTGTCAACAAGTTAATACTGTTTAATGTAGGTGGTATTAATATAATACATATTGCACAAACTTCTCACCCTGATATGAAAATGGGTTTAAAACTAAGTCTATTTGTTTCAGTCAGTTAATGTACTTATCTTCTACAGCTTTCTCAGTCATTTAGGCTGCGTTCACACAGCAGGTAAAGTGGCCCAAATCTATTATTTCTCACTGATTTTGTTGTTTGTCTGTTCACAATATCTTTTAAATGTGATCTGTATGCGACATCTGTCTTAACAGATCACGCTTAACTGACCCGCATGCACAGAAGAACAGAGCTTCACGGCTCATCCAGAGGTAAACAATCACGACCGCCAACGAACGCCAGTCGCTCCCGGAGGATCAGCTTCATCTTCACCAGCATCACAGGAGCCATCATGAAGCTTCACTGACTGACAGCTGGGCTCATCACCCAGAATGTATTCAGCTCACTGTAAAAATGGCGCGGTCACTTCTTTGGTTCGTGACCTCAGATTCTTTAAACTTTGCTTTCAGACTTTTAACTGTTCTTTGACGCTGCAGCCTCGTTCTCCTGCAGCCGCGTTCGGACATTTCTCTCTAAATCTCTTCAAACACGGAGGGTTTTGGATACATCTCTTCTTTTTTTTTAGTGCAGAAACATCAGCCTAAATGTTTATGAGTCTCAGCAGCACAAAATTAGCCGCATGAATTCCGATCTGGCTGTTCAGACTGAGCCGCATTGCCGTAGATTGGATACGTATCGGATTTCAGTACCACATATGAAAGCGTCTCAAATCTGAATTAAACTGACACACAGATCACGAAACTGTGTCACATATGAAGAAAACGATCGGATTTGGGCCACTTTCACCTGCTGTGTCCTACTATTTATTTGAAACCTGTAAAGTTGTAAAGGACAAGTATATCATAATAATTTAAACCTTAATCTACAAACAAAACCGGCACTGAAAACAGTAACTCTAAACCTTCTGAGTGGTGATCTATAACCCATTTGAGAACACAGTGGGATTAGGGTCAGCCACACTGTAGAAGATGAATGACGGTCTTCTACTATGATGCAGCGCGTCTGTGTGCATGTATAATATTGTGCGTGTTAATAATTCAGCATCTCAGTGAATGCAGGGAACGCAGATCATATGGCCGAAGCCCAGCCAGTCGGGGGAGAAAGTGAGCGTGATCCTGAGGGGTCAGTGGGCCTCGGCGCTGCAAGGGGCCGTCCGTGTGTACGTGTGTTTGTGTTTAGGTGAGTTAGCACTGTAAAGGGGTCAGAAAGGATTCCATTACATCACTGCATCAGCGGTACTGTGTGGCTTCTTTTCTACTGTAGACCCAAATGGTTCTCAGGGCCGTACTGGGCCGTCCCACGCTGGTCCGGACTCGTGAGACCCGTTACTGTTTCTTTTTCCATCTGCTGCTAAATGAAGGGGGCAGTTGTGGGCCGGAGGTTAGGGAACCAGCCCTGTGACTGGAAGGTCGCCAGTTCGATCCCCTGAGCCGACAGTACGTGACTGAAGTGCCCTTGAGCAAGGCACTTAACCCCCAACTGCTCTCCGGGTGCTGTGGATAGGGTCGCCCACTGCCTCGGGCAAGTGTGCTCACTGCCCCTTACTGTGTGTCTTCACTAGTGGGTCATTCATGGATGGGTCAAAATGTAGAGGTGAAATTTCCCCGTTGTGGGACTAATGAGGGTCAGTAAATCTTAATCTTAAATCAGAACCAGAAAATATTGAAGAAAACTACACAAACGAGTGGCTAACTGCTAACAGGCTAATAGCTACTCACACACCACCCATAGATATAAATACATTCCATCCGTCACTCCGTCTCTCGGCGAGCTCTCACCTTCTTTGTCCTCTAAACAGGTGTCATTTGAGCACCTGTTACTGAAACAGCCTGTACTGCAGTGGGCTTCACCTGTAGCTGGCTAGCTACATTAGCATTAGCCTCGCCCAGCAGGGTACAACTCAAAGCACCACAGAACAAGTCTAATTTTTATGTTTCTGTCACTTCAACACCAGATATTCGAATTTGTGGTCTCAGAAATGAGTCTTCATCCTCTAAACAGGTGCTTTTCAGCATCGGTTCGCTAGAACTGAGCCTGTACTGCAGTGGGAGGCGCTGTACACTCGGATTAGCTTAGCCTAGCAGGCTACAACTTAAACCACAACAGAACAGGTTCAATTTCAGCTTTCTGTCACTCCAGCATTGATCAGTTGACTTCAGTCTCACTTTTATAAGTTTTTATCATCTATATTTGTGATAGCAGAGCAGCGGGTGGTCGAATTGAAGCCGTACTGGGGTGTCTGGATCTCTTCAGCTAAGCTAAGTTAGCTAGGAGAGAGGAGCTGGCTGGCATTAGCTTAGCTAGGAGGCTCCAGCTCCAGAGAACAGGTTTAATTTCAGCATTCTGCTCCTCTGACATCAGCTGCTCGACTTCGCTTCCTCAGATTTGAGTCATTATCATCTAAATTTGTGTCAGCAAAGCTTTTGTTAGTCAGAATCGAACCTGTTCTGTGGTGAACAGAGCTGGCAGCATGCTAGCTAAGCTAAGCAGCACTGTTCAGTACATAAAACGACAGAGAAAACTGTGAAATATCCAGAATGTTCTGTGTGGCTGATTTACAATAATTATTGTAAATAAATAACAACAGTATATTATTTATCAGTCAATAACTTCTTGTTGAGATATTGAATAAAACATCTAAAATACCTTTCAATATTTAGTTTATGATAATTAAATCTATGCTGCACAAGTTATAACTGTATATAAAATGACAAATATTATTAACATGACAAACGACTGTGTATGAACTTACTGAGACGCACTGTATGTATTATAATTAATGGTGCGTTCCAATCGGGAGGCAGCTGTCTAAGTAGGCAGCATTTGCGCCTACCGAGACGAAGCCTGTCCCATTTGGGAGGCAGCATAAGGCAGCTGCCTTTTAAGGTGCCTTATTTTGACCAAATCTGAAGGCAACATCGCATGTATCCTTCGCAGCGAAGGCAATTCCACAATACCGTTAACCTGCTGACCGGCCGAGAGCTCCATCGCTTCAGTTAGATAAACACGGTGGACGAGGCGGCCGTTTCTGTCGACCGAGGAGTCGACAAATGTAAGTTATTGCTTGACTTCTGTCTTTACTGTTTTGATTGGTTGTTGTATTTGTGTAAAGTATTTAACATATTCATGTTCGTAGATCTCCAGAAGTTGTTCCTGTGGTGTGGTCTAAGGTGACCGGACAGGCTGCATTTGTAACTCGTTAGGTGAAGCTAACGTTCGTTAGCTTAGCTTGTGGGCTAGCTGTGTAAACGCGCTGGCTCTTTAAAACAAGAGAGGGGGTCTAGTTTAAAATACTGGCTGGAAGAGGAGCAGTTTCGGGGAGAAAACTGCACCAAACAACTGAAAGCAGCCGACTTGCCGAGCGTATTTGGGGAAAAACACAGCGAAACCAGCGCTACAGACTGACGTTCTCCCTGAACAATGAAAAATACTTCAACTTGCTGGACGATGTAGAAGTTTAGAAAATAAAATGCTTTTAAACTAAAAACCACAAATGCTTATTTTCGCCTGCTCTGCTTGTCTTGTATTGCTGTGCTTCCACAGTCACAGTCACAAAAGTGTGAGGTGAATGTTGACGGCTAAATTTCAGACCAGGAGCTCGTAAATCATTTGAGAATGCATAAAATAAAATGTATATTAGCAGCTTAACAGACTGTGTGCAGTCCTTCTTTCTGAGTGCATTTTGTGCAAAACTATACGTAGGTTTTATCCTTTGTGTGTCAGAAATAAAGCAGGTTCGTTAAGGTGGATGAGGACAGTGAATAAATTGAGATGATTCTCAAGCTAGTCACGTTTATCTGTATTTATCTGAGGCGCCGAGTCGAGTGTATCACGAGTCCTTAAATCAGCCATTTCCACAACAGTGTCAATGCAGGAAAACGGCTGCTGCAGACTCAGAGCCGACCTTATTCACTGAGGCGATGCACCTTTACAGTCGGAGGTGAGTGTAAGGTAACGAGTGACTGCGAGTCAACAGATAAAACATGTACAGGGCAGTGAAACTTATGACGTATGATGGCTCTGGAGTACAGTCCCAAATGCGATGCCTACTAAGGTTCCTTTTCGGTTAGAATGCTGCCCAACAAGAGAGCTGCCTTTGAAGGCAGTGACTAGAACACACTATATAAGTTATATTTGTATTGATCCATTATGACTCTGGGAGCAGCACTGTGTTTGCGTGTGTCGCATGAGATCTTCGCACAGATCTTTGCTGTGACTGACCTCAGGTGAGGGTAGGCCGCTGTTGGCTTTGCCCTCCAGCGTGTTCCTCAGCAGTTTGTCCCCCAGAATGCGGGTGAGGTGCTGAGCCATGGTCCTCTGCTGCTCCACACTGCAGTGGTTCTCTATGGACAGGATCACCGGGTACTGCGAGTTCTGCCAAACAACAACAATGTACCGTAATGTACTGTATTGTATGGCTGTACTGTTGACGGCTGGAAGTCATTCAGAGTGGTTTGGTGTGAAATGGTTCAGATGTCTTTACAGTGGTGGTGATAGGAACCAGGGGTCGCCATGACTACAACACAAATATAGACGTTTTATTTACTGTCCAAAACCACCAGTGAACCCACACCAGTCTTCTGAGTTTATATGGAATGTTGATGATCGTGAAATGGTGATAAATCTGGGGACTACTTTTTGCCTCAGAACACCCTGCCTATTATGTATCCCTCCACCACGAATGGATTTTAAGGCCAAAATCTTCTCAAAACTATTGTAAAACAATGTCGCAGTGAATTCATAACCATTTCATGTAATAGCTTTCTTTGATGTATCTTTTAGAGGTGGATGTCTGGTTCCTATCACCACCAGCAATTCTGAGCATTTCACACCAAACCACTGTGACAGACTTTGTTTACATCTTAACAATTTTGAACTTTTGAAACTTTGAAACTCATATAATATTTGCTGTAAGAGGAAATATGTTGAATTAAGACACCACTGTGCTGCATCACATTAAATTCTGAATTTTCTGAGTCGTTACACCTCAACTGCCTCAACACAGCCAGATACACAGCAGCCATGATAATGCTCTGTGTGTGTGTGTTAATTAGTGATGAGGGGAAAGGATACACCCAAAACCACACACTAGCAGCTAATACACTGCCAGAGAGCGGCTGACCAGCTGTATCACTTTACCATCACACACACACACACACACACACACACACACAGACTGGTAAGAGTGTTCAGTGCTCCGTCACACATCTGAACCTGAGGAAGGCACAGCGAGTCAGTCACGTGCAGTTCATATAACTCATACTGCACCACATTAGCCTCCTTCCCTATTCCAGAGAAATACATAAATCATACAGAAGCACAGAAATGCAGAGAATATGAAGCCCCTGAGGGCCGAGGGGGGCCGAGGAGGGCCGAGGTGGAAAGAAGCAATGACACTGCTTTCCTTTGCAAAATGTTGTGCGCTCCCTCGCAAAATCCACTGTGTTTGCAATGGCATTGCAAACACTTTGCAAGGAAGTAAACAGGGAGATTAGAGGAACAAAGAGAGAGATTATAGGAGTAAATAGAGAAATTATAAGAGTAAAGAGAGAGATTGGAGGAGTAAACAGAGAGGTTAGAGGAGCAAAGAGAGAGAGATTAGAGAGGTACATAGAGAGATTAAAGGAGTAAATACTGAGATTATAGGAGTAAATAGAGAGATTAGAGGAGTAAAAAGCAATATTAGATGAGTAAATAGAGAGATTAGGGGAGTAAGGAGAGATTCGAGGAGTAAATTGAGAGATTAGAGGAGTAAAGGGAGAGAACAGAGGAGTAAAGAGAGCGAATAGAGGAGTTATTGGAGAGATTAGGGGAGCAAAAAGAGAGATTAGAGAAGTAAATAGAGAGATTAGATGATTAAATAGAGAGATTAGGGAAGTAAAGAGAGAGACTGGAAGAGTAAACAGAGAGATTAGATGAGTAAAGAAAGAGATTAGAGGGATTAAAGGAGTAAAGAGAGAGAACAGAGGAGTAAAGAGAGAGATTAGAGGAGTAATTAGAGAGTTTAGGGGAGTAAAGAGAGAGATTGGAGGAGTAAATAAAGAGATTAGGGGACTAAAGAGAGATTGGAGGAGTAAATAGAGAGATTGGAGGAGTAAAGAGAGAGGTTAGAGGAGTAAATAGATTACAGGAGTGGAGAGAGAAATTAGAGGAGTAAAAAGGGAGATTAGAGGAGTAAACAGAGATCAGAGGAATGGAGAGAGAGATTAGAGGAGCAAACAGAGATATCTGAGGAGTAAAACGAGAGATTAGAGGAGTGGAGAAAGAGATTAGAGGAGTAAACAGAAAGATTAGAGTAAAGTGAGAGATTAGAGGAGTAAACAGAGATATCTGAGGAGTAAAGTGAGAGATTAGAGGAGCAAAGTGAGATTAGAGGAGTGGAGAGATAATTGAGGAGTAAAGTGAGAGATTAGAGGAGTGGAGAGAGAGAGATTAGAGGAGTAAATAGATTACAGCAGTGGAGAGAGAGATTAGAGAAGTAAACTGAGATATTTTAGGAGTAAAGTGAGAGATTAGAGGAGCAAAGTGAGATTAGAGGAGTAAATGGAAAGATCAGAGGAGTGGAGAGAGAGAGATTAGAGGAGTAATCTGAGATATTTTAGGAGTAAAGTGAGAGATTACAGGAGTGAAGAGAGATTAGAGGAGTACATGGAGATATTTGAGAAGTAAAGTGAGAGATGAGAGGAGTGGAGAGAAAGATTAGAGGAGTAAACAGAGATATCTAAGGAGTAAACTGAGAGATGAGAGGAGTGGAGAGAGAGATTAGAGGAGTAAAGTGAAAGATTAGAGGAGTGGAGAGAGAGATTAGAGGAGTAAACAGAGATAATTGAGGAGTAAAGTGAGAGATTAGAGGAGTGGAGAGAGAGATTAGAGGAGTAAAGTGAGAGATTAGAGGAGTGGAGAGAGAGATTAGAGGAGTAAACAGAGATATTTGAGAAGTAAAGTGAGAGATCAGAAGAGTGGAGAGAGAGATTAGAATAGTAAACTGAGATATTTGAGGAGTAAAGTGAGAGATTAGAGGAGCAAAGTGAGATTAGAGGAGTGGAGAGAGAGATTAGAGGAGTAAACGGAAAGATTAGAGGAGTGGAGAGAGAGAGATTAGAGGAGTAATCTGAGATATTTTAGGAGTAAAGTGAGAGATTAGAGGAGTGAAGAGAGATTAGAGGAGTACATGGAGATATTTGAGAAGTAAAGTGAGAGATGAGAGGAGTGGAGAGAAAGATTAGAGGAGTAAACAGAGATATCTGAGGAGTAAACTGAGAGATGAGAGGAGTGGAGAGAGAGATTAGAGGAGTAAGCAGAGATATCTGAGGAGTAAACTGCGAGATGAGAGGAGTGGAGAGAGAGATTAGAGGAGTAAACAGAGATATCTGAGGAGTAAAGTGAAAGATGAGAGGAGTGGAGAGAAAGATTAGAGGAGTAAACAGAGATATCTGAGGAGTAAACTGAGAGATGAGAGGAGTGGAGAGAGAGATTAGAGGAGTAAACAGAGATATCTGAGGAGTAAAGTGAGAGATTAGAGGAGTGGAGAGAGAGATTAGAGGAGTAAAGTGAGAGATTAGAGGAGTGGAGAGAGAGATTAGAGGAGTAAACAGAGATATTTGAGAAGTAAAGTGAGAGATTAGAGCAGTGGAGAGAGAGATTAGAATAGTAAACTGAGATATTTGAGGAGTAAAGTGAGAGATTAGAGGAGCAAAGTGAGATTAGAGGAGTGGAGAGAGAGATTAGAGGAGTAAACGGAAAGATTAGAGGAGTGGAGAGAGAGATTAGAGGAGTAATCTGAGATATTTTAGGAGTAAAGTGAGAGATTAGAGGAGTGGAGAGAGAGATTAGAGGAGTAAAGTGAGAGATTAGAGGAGTGGAGAGAGAGATTACAATAGTAAACTGAGATAATTGAGGAGTAAAGTGAGAGATTAGAGGAGTGGAGAGAGAGATTAGAGGGGTAAACAGATATTTGAGAAGTAAAGTGAGAGATTAGAGGAGTGGAGAGAGAGAGATTAGAGGAGTGAATAGATGATAGCAGTGGAGAGAGAGATTAGAGAAGTAAACTGAGATATTTGAGGAGTAAAGTGAGAGATTAGAGGAGCAAAGTGAGATTAGAGGAGTGGAAAGAGAGATTAGAGGAGTAAAGTGAGAGATCAGAAGTTTAAAGTAATATAATAGAGAGAGTAAGGCGAGTAGAGAGAGGAAGAAAGAGACAGACACATTGAGAGAGAGAGAGAGAGAGAGAGAGAGAGAAGAGAGAAAGAGACAGAGAGAGAGAGAGAGAGAGAGAGAGAGAAAGAGAGAGACAGAGAGAGAGAGAGCGAGAGAGAGAAAGAGAGACAGAGAGAGAGAGAAGGGTCAGTACTTTGAAGGCGTAGTTGCCGATTACAGTGATGACGTCTTTGAACAGGATCTTGGAGGTTAAAGTGTGTCCGTGGTAAACGACGGGTTCTCCGTTCGGACCATCCCAGCTGTCCACCTCCACACAGCGGCAGCCGCGCTTCAGAGCCCTGACACACACACACACACACACACACACACACACACACGACACACACACACACACAGACACACACACATTCCGGTTATACTTCCTTTCTGAGGACCTTTGCACTTCATATCACTCTGAATGCACTGAACATATCTAACCTACAAGATAGTTCAACAAAAAATCGAACTTTCAAAAATCTACCAGTCATTGTCGATCATCAAAGACAGGTTCGGCATCCGAATTTTGCTTCAGGGTCATTCTACAGAAACGTCCACTTTTCTATTTCTCCATAGGAGTCACTGGTCTTACTGGTCCTCATTGGTGTTACACATAATAAAGGAACACCAGAGACATTTTTAATGAAAAATACATTTTACACAATAACTGCTACAGAGCATCAAACCACATGTTGTCAATCATGGAATATCCACTAAAATATGGAATTTAATCCATTTGTATTCTATTTTTTTTACAGTGACTTCAGCTAAAAGCTTCATATGAAATCATGAGCTAAATGAGAAAATCTCTGATAACTGAAAGACACAGTGGACTCACCATGAGCTTTTCTTCATAGATCCTCAGAACAAAGGTAAAATGAAGTCGAGTGATGTCATCAATGTGACTTTTATTTCAAAATACGAGATTTTTTTGTTATGCGGTAACACCAGTGACACGACTCCTGGGGACCACAACTTTCATTATATATTTCATAATATTTAGTTTGGCTTTTGTTTTCTTTATGTCATTTAATTTATATATTTCATACTCATGTTTAAATTACTGTACTTAACATTGCAGAAAAACGTGTTTTTTTTTGGTTTTTTTTCAAAATATGGCCTCAGCCTTTTCACATGACTGTGGGGACGAGCTCTTCTGTGGTGCCTGGAATTCTAGATAATTGATTTTAAAACCAATATTGCTAAATTGAGGCTCAAGAAGGTGTAACTGTTAAAATAACTTATTGTTTTATTTTAAATTATAAATGAATTGTAACCCTAACATGTTTTTAAGTGTAATATATCTGTAAACGCTAGGGACACAGAAATGGACGTTTCTGTAGAATGACCCTTCATTTGTTTAGCGCTGAACCCACACGGCTAACGGTGCTAACAAACACTAGAAATCAATGGTCACCCAAATACACTGATCAGACATAACATTATGACCACCTCCTTGTTTCTACACTCATTGTCCATTTTATCAGCTCCACTTACTATATAGGTGCACTTTGTAGTTCTACAGTTACAGACTGTAGTCCATCTGTTTCTCTGATACTTTCTTAGCCCCCTTTTACCCTGTTCTTCAGTGGTCAGGACCCCCATGGACCCTCACAGAGCAGGTACTGTTTGGGTGGTGGATCATTCTCAGCACTGCAGTAACACTGATGTGGTGGTGGTGTGTTAGTGTGTGTTGTGCTGGTCTGAGTGGATCAGACACAGCAGTGCTGCTGGAGTTTTTAAACACTGTGTCCACTCACTGTCCACTCTATTAGACACTCCTACCTTGTCAGTCCACCTTGTGCAGCAGCAGATGAGCTGTGCAGCAGCAGATGAGCTATCGTCTCTGACTTTACATCTTAAAGCCAGAGACGATAGCTCATCTGCTGTTGCACAGTTTGTGTTGGTCATCCTCTAGTCCTTCATCAGTGGTCACAGGATGCTGCCCACAGGACGCTGTTGGCTGGATATTTTTGGTTGGTGGACTATTCTCAGTCCAGCAGTGACACTGAGGTGTTTAAAAACTCCAGCAGCACTGCTGTGTCTGATCCACTCAGACCAGCGCAACACACACTAACACACCACCACCACGTCAGTATTACTGCAGTGCTGAGAATGACCCACCACCCAAATAGTACCTGCTCTGTGAGGGTCCATGGGGGTCCTGACCACTGAAGAACAGGGTAAAAGGGGGCTAACAAAGTATCAGAGAAACAGATGGACTACAGTCTGTAACTGTAGAACTACAAAGTGCACCTATATAGGAAGTGGAGCTGATAAAATGGACAATGAGCGTAGAAACAAGGAGGTGGACACTGAGGTAACAGCACTTTTACTGCCGTCCGGGTTTGGGCTGTGTGTTCGTGTACCGTATGTACGCCTCCACGCTGCTGCTCCCCCGGAGCTGGTCCCCCATCAGGTAGGTGTTGTGCGAGGAGGAGATGAAGTAGTGGCAGAGCGGCTGGCTCATGTCCTGATACAGCTGCTGCATGGCTGGCTTAAAGATGGAGCCCTCCGACGACAGCAGGTACATCAGGAAGCCGTCGATCGTCATGGCCTGACGCGTCTTAGCTACGCAGGGAAGCGGGAGAAGATAAAATAGTACAAAAATAGTAAAATTGTACATAGTACAATAAATCAGTACAGTCGAGTGTCAAGTCGAGTCCCGAGTCAATAGCCCTAAACTTTAAGTCCTAAACAAGTCAGTCTGCATTGTTCAGCTAATTTAGGGCCGCAACACTGAGTAATGGAAACAGTACTCCAGCCTTTTAATGACAGCATTTTAGCAGCGTATGGCTTTATATTAATTTTTTATTATTATTTTTTACTCTTCCAACTAAAATACAAAATCCACAGTACACAGATAACCATGACAGAGTAGTGCACTATGAAAAAAATGGGAAAATTACTACTGAACTTAAATTAAAAAGCAACTTTATATTTGAAGATTTTCCGTTCCACCTTAAATGGTGCAGTAGTTCCGTTCCAGTGCCTGACCGCTACACCATTTAAGGTGGAATGGAACATTCCAATATGAAGCTGGCTATACTTGCGCTTGATTTATCTGCAGAAGCTGTTAAAAGCAATCAAAAAGCCTTCAAAAAGATCATTACAAGCCTCGTTGCTCAAATCCGATTTTTTGGCTCAAATCCGATCTCTCTGACTTGATGGTTCACACTTGTTTAGGTAAGTGACTCAAATCTGTCATTAATGTGAACGAACCGCGTCCTGAAATGACCCTCATGAGCACATCCTACTCAGTAACGTCACGTGAATGAATCATGAGCATCATCAGCACAAACTAACGAGCAGAACGAGCTTCGCTGAGAAGATAATTAACTCTGATCAGCTCTCAGCTTCATTATTAGAGCGAGACGAAGGAGAAAAAGGTGAGATGAGCTGCTTTTCCACCGTTTACAGGCTTTAACTTCTGTTTGGCACTGCTGCCATGGTAACGCTGAATGATGGCGCAGTGGGGAAAAAAAGCACATGAATTTCGATCTGAGCGTCACATTAAGGTCACATGGCCACAAATCGGATACGTATCCGATCTAGGAGCACATATGAAAGTGGCTCAGGTCGGATTTGAAAACAGATCAGATCGGAGTCATATTAAGGCAAAAAATGGGATTTGTGCCACTTCAACCTGGTAATGTGAACCATTATGTGTGCCAGAGAGACACTGTGTTTCTTTTGTAATAAATGGCCTTAAACACTGCAGTTAATGTAGAACTGCTAATTCACCCTTTAACCCTGAAGATCAGTGCAGACTGCTGGTCACCATAGCAACACAGACATCAATCTCGCCTAGCTAGTAGCTACGAAAAGGCAAAGAGAAAGATTTAAGATGAACATCGATAATTTGGAGACGAATGGATTTATTTGTGTTTATAATCACTCCAGCTGGTTTCCTGATACGTTTAATCTGCAACGAGAAACTGAAACTAAAACACTAAAAATTCACAAAGCTGAAGTCGCTTCTCATTCGCCAGCTTCTTGTTTGAATTTTCCCTTTCAATCCCCTTAAATGGTGCCGCAGTTACATTTTGGCGCCTCAGGCACCATTTAAGGTGGAACGGGGGAATTCGAACAAGAAGCTGGCGAACGAGAAGCGACTTCAGCCTCAGAAAAACCAAACATTGAGAGACATTTTACAAGAAACTGTTCTTCTTTTAAATAAAGTTTCCTGCTGGAGATGTGAGAAAAGCAGCTGTAGCTGAGCTAAAGCTTAAAGCAAAGTAAGTCTGTATTTTAATTTATATCATATTTTTAGCTTTTACTAGTACATCAGCACATACTGAGACAAATTTACAGCCAAGATGGTAAAATGGACATAAAATGTTGTGGCTCCCAAGGTGGTTCGATTTTTACTGAAAGAACAAAATGGCTCTTCTTAACACTTGGGCTGCCGACGCCTGACCTAGATCAATGATTGCAGGTTGACAGTAGACGGACGGTCGGAAAAGACCAGATATTCTATTGTTTTCAACGGAGCAGCGACAGAAAATTCTGCTACCGCCAGCAGCAGCAACAGTCGGGAAGAGCGATTCATGAGAGTCCAAATTTCCCAGCCTTCCCCGCCATCAACCACAGCAGTGAAATAAACCAGATGTTATTTTTTTGGGAGCCACAGACGCCAAACATCTCATTGTTGAAGTCCAGACGAACCCAGAATTATCTAAACAAAAATAAACAAGTGCAGAGTCCTTCCGCCTTTCTCCACCTTAAATAACAGCATTCACTGCTAAAGCTCTCCTCTCATAATCATCCATTTTCGCAAATGGTCACCATGGCAACACTTGAATCATGCAAAAGGTTCTTTGAGTGTTCATGGTTCTATACAGAACCATTTTCAGTGTAGGGTTAAATACGGGAATGTAAAGGGTGTTTTACGTCTGCGAGCGACGCAGGAACCTCTCTTTTGGGACGGGTGAGGGGTGATATCTGTATCTGAGGGTGTTTTATGTCTCCGAGTGAGAGGGGTAACCGTACGCCAGTGAGACGGCTGCCTGTATCTGAGGTTTCGTTTTTGTCATGTCGGCGCAGGTGTCTGATCATTTTGACTCCAGGTGAGACTCCTGTATGTGTGCTCCTGTACATGAGGATGTTTTAATAATTAAAACATTATTTGCTGTGTGGCTGCTCGCTTTAACGTTACAGCACCGCATTTGTCCCGTACAACGTTTGCAACGTTTTATGGCCACGAAGATCTAAAAAGTAAGTTTGCTAGCCCAGGACCTCGTGGCGCAACTGCAGCGTGTCTGATTCCAGATCAGAAGGTTTCGTGTTCAAATCATGTCGGGTCAAGCGCTTCTTTGTGACAACTTACAATGGTTGTATAGTGTAGTGGATAACTCCTCTGCCTTATATGCTGTAGACTGGGGTTAAATCCCCGCCTGGGCAAACACTCTACACTACACCAATGAGAGTCCTTGGGCAAGACTCCTAACTTTACCTTCACCTCCCTGTGTAAAAATAATGAAATTGTAAGTCGCTCTGGATAACAGCGTCTGCCAAATGCCGTAAATCGCTGCTGTCGGAAGAAAACCTTGTATGTCTTTTTTGTTTTTATGACATAGTTTGAAAGTACCCATGGTCCTATACATTGTGTGTAAATTTCATGATGAATGGACCAAATGAAAAGGCTCAAAATGACTTTGAAAAAATTCTGGTTCCATAGACTTGCATTAAAAGTAAAGTATGTTTTTTCCTTCTCCTGTAAAGTTACCATTTTGGAGATACAAGGTTTTCTTTCGACAACAGCGATATGTAAATGTAATGCAAATGCAGTGTCGTTCTCCTTCGCGATGCGCGTCCATGAATTCCAGGGGCGGAGCTACTGAAGGGAGTGGTATATTTGTGTCGATGTTGAGTTCAAACATCAACAATCGCTCTCCAGAATCGCTTACTGCACCTTTAAGCACTTACACATAGTAATTAAGTTGGTGTAACATATTCCATTCGTGTGAAGCCAGTGTACACATGTGAATCAAGTAAACTGAACGCAACTTTTTGTTTCAGAGTGTTTAGCAGCTAAATAAGAAAGTAATCTTCCACCAATTGAGCTGTAAGTGATGCTAGTAAGCAGTAAGCCTGCCTCAGCTGAACGAAGTGGTCAGGACAGGCCGTAACGCTTCAACAGATCAGTGAGATACGCTGGAGCCAGGCCATTTTAGTCAGCGTGTGAGATGTGAGATGGGTGAAACAGGAGCGAAGCTGAGGGAGTCTCTTGTGTCTGTATCTGCAGGTGCTCAAAAGTTTGGAATCACATATGTTAATTGTCGTTATGCCATTCAATAATAACTAAGGCTGGGGAATATGACGATATATATCATTATCATGATAAAATACGCTTTTCTGAACATATCGTGTATATCGTCAGTACTTGTAGACACTGATGAACTACATGTGTCATTATAAAGAGAGCAATATTAGCCCCGTTTGACTGGATTTAGTGCCAAACATTGGAAAAATATCATTTTGATGGTATTTTAAAAAAAATGTAGCTCTACTGGCTCTTTTTCTCTGTTCTTTGCCTGAAAAAATAAATATCGTGACATATCTTGTATCATGAACCTTTTTTTGAAGAACTGCGATATTATATTTTTGCTATATCACCCACCTCTAATAATTATTTGCAGTGTGGATTGAAACATTATATGCTAGAAGACATAATGGTAGATTTTTAAATGGCTTGTACAATTTTTCAGTTTTTGAGGGCACAACAAGGGTTAGAGTAGCCCTATTTGGAAGAATATAAACAACTCATATTGAGAGCTAGCCAGGCTACTACGGCCAGGAGGTCAGTTTTGACATGCTGTAACTAAGCCTCCTAAAGAACACTGAAAAAACTTAAAACCGTGTTTGGAAACTGTTTTTCACACATTCATCAAAAAAAAATCTTATTTGCTAATATATTTATATTTTCTGTTCTACTAAAATTTGTCTCTTTCACAAATCATATTCATTTTGACGTATATACTTTTACTCAAGGTGCAAAATACAGGGGGTCCTGGGGGTCCGGGACCTCCTAATTAACCTCCTGGACCCCCCGGAATGTCTCAAAATCTAAATTCTATAATGTTATGCTGTCCGTCAGACACTCAAATGCCAATTCATTGAAGTTCACTGTTTAGCTGCTTCACCCACAATCATCTTCTGTATTTGGTGTTCTTAACTAACTAGAGATGCAGCATTGCTCTGCCTCAGGGTGGCGCTGTACCAGACTGGGTCAACCAGTTGGTCCTTCCTAGTAGTGTTCTGCACGGGACTATTTTTTCAGTCCTGCTCCCCACCCGCACCCACAAGATTTCATCCCGTTCCCGCAGAAAATCGGAATCATTTGTCCCGCTCCCACCCACACAGTTCCATCAAGGCGAATGCCTCACAATATTGGGAATCTCTCTACTTCATAGCCTATCAACTGTAACTCTGCCTGGATTCCCAATGTGCCACAGCATATCTGTAAATCTGAAAACTCTCCCAGTTTCCCAAGAGTTTGGAGTGAAGAGTGACTGTTCCTCATTTCTCACACTGAAGACGGAAGAGGAGGTGAGGAAGATCTCAGTTAATGTGAGGAAGAGCGCAGAACCACACTAGAACAGAGACTTTACAGAAGAACAACTGATCAAACAAACATTTTGCTGCATTTGAAGCATCAGCGCCACTATGGTGAGTGAGCTAGCAGCCCACCAACGCTGGAGTAGCCAGCCAACGTGGGACCCTCTGAATACCAGGTTGTATTTCACACACTGCATCTGCTAGTTTTTACCGAGGTATTCTGAATGTTTAATAACAGTTTGTAACAGATTATTAGCATCATACTATAATCAAAACTACACGTACACCAACAAACAAACTGGCTGTGTATTATTAAAACACAGTGCTTCTACGCTTTTGAATGGTCGTATCAGAGACTGTACTGAATCTGCAGGTGAGACATGTACCTGCGTCAGATGGTTCGTAGTGCTCTATGAGCTCCATGGCGTGTTCCTGTACTCGTTCCTGCTCCAACTGGCCCTCTCGCAAGAACTCCTCCAAATCTCGGAGCGACAGCGTCTGTCCATCGCTGGAGTATTCCCGAAAGATCTTGTCCACCTCCTCCCTCTGCGTCAGCATCTTATAGAACAGCACAAACTCGTCGTCCTCCAGGGTGCCCGACTGAGACTTATCCGCCTTCTGCAGAGTACACAGTACAGCCGTATATGTTACTACTGAACATACATAACACCTCACAAAGAGCAAAAATAGGGTTGTGTAAATGTAAACTGCAATTTGAAACTCATGCAAACTCATGACAAATCAGTCATGGGTTTATCAGTCAGATATTAGTTCAGTAGCTGCGAACACCCTGCATTAAGTGCTTGGTGAACCACATGAACTCATCGTAACATCATTAGAATAAAGTCCTGAAATTAATTTTAGTATAATGAGCTCTGAGTTCGATCCCCCGTGATTCCACAGCCGTCCGTGGCCGGGAGGCCAAGATAGCATAACTGTCCTCTCTATCTGGGTGGGTAGGTTGGTCTTATCCCCTCCATCATTTAACGTGATGCTAGCCAACACGGGCGCTTGGTAACTGACGTAACAGAATTAATGGTTAGCAATCTCCTCCAAGCGTGTTGAGCTGTCCAATGAGGTTGCATTAGCGGCCAATTGAAAAGATGTGGTGGAGCCTCCTAGTCTGGAGTAACCCTTCACCCGTTCCTGCTTTGTAGCATCGCTTTTTGGCTATGTTCACATTACAAGCCTCATTGCTCAAATACGATTTTTTTATTCAAATCTGACCTCTCTGTCATGATGGTTCACACTCGTTTAGGTAAGTGAGTCAAATCTGTCATTAATGTGAACGAACCGAAATGACCCGCATGAGCTCATCCTACTCAGTAACGTCACGTGAATGAATCACGTGCATCATCAGCACAAACTAACAAGCAGAACGAGCTTCGCTGAGAGGTAATTAACTCTGATCAGCTCTCAGTTTCATTATTAGAGAGAAATGAACCTGGAAAAGGTGAGATGAGCTGCTTTTCCACCGTTTACAGGCTTTAACTTCTAGCGTCACATTAAGGTCGCACGGCCACGAATTGGATATGTATCCGATCTAGGACCACATATGAAAGTGGCTCATGTCAGATATGAAAAATCAGATTTGCGTGTCCACACAGCCCTGACTACATCAGATCTGAGTCACATTAGGGCGAAAAATCGGATTTGTGCCACTTCAGTCTGGTAATGTGAACGTAGCCTTAAAGCTAAAAACATCCCCAGGGTAAATGACACCTCTGTGTATCCAGCTAAACAGAAATTGTGCTTTGTAAAATACGCCCCAGTTCTTTACCCAAACAAAATACATGTTGGTATATAAGCAATATATAGAGCTCTGCTGGGGGGCGAGATTTTTTCCCCAATTTAGTGGTTTCCAATTCCACCCACTAGTTCGGACTCCCCCAGTTACACGATACTACCAGTGCTAGAAGGCTAGCACAGGCTTCCTCCGAGACCTGTGAAGCTCCACCGCATCTTTTCGAACTGCCACTCACGCAACGTCACTGGACAGCCGAACGCACTTGGAGGAGAACACTAACCGCCAGATCTGTTACGTCAGCTAACAGATACCAGTTCAGTGATGGGGCGAGACGGGGGACCATCCTACCACCCCCCAGAGAGCGAGGCCAACTGTGCTCTCTTGGACTCCCAGCCACGGACGGCTGTAGCATCACCAGGGATTGAACTTGAGATCTCCTGATCACAGGGCCAACACTTACACGGTTGCACCACTCGTTACCTGTTGCGACACTTATAATATAGAGATCATGTGTTCACACAGTCAGCGTTGTTTGCTGTTGTTTACTGTTACCGTGAACAGGCAGAGTGCATGATCCTCATTCATGTCCATGTTCATCATCTTCAGCAAGTCTCTGACCTCCTTAAAGTTCATCCTGCCGTCTCCGTTCTTATCTGCCTTCTTAAACCAGTCGCTGATCCACCTGAAGGGCCGTCGTTAAGGAACAGGAACACGCTCTCAAACTACTCTGTGTTTCGACCTCCTATAATGCAAGCTGTGGTAGGAGTGAAGCAAAGTCTTTGCGAACAGTGCAACACAGATGCGACACACCTCCAAAGTTCAGTCTTAGAAGTTGGTTGACCATTTTCTGAAGTAATCAGACACACTGAGTGATGTTGAGGTCTGGGTGGGCACTTTTGACTGGAAACGAAAAAAATGAAGGGTGTACACTGGTACACTCTTAAAAATGACGGTTCTTTAAGGGTTCTTTAGTAAAGAAAATGGTTCTAGATAGAACCATGAACACTCCAAGAACACTTTGCATGATTACAGTGTTCTTTGCATGATTCTCCATCAATCTGAAGAACCTTTTAACAGGGATCTGAAATGAATGATCTTTAATGAAAGGGTTGTTTGGATCAATGGAAAATATGCATGAATGTGCTATAGATGGTTCTATATAAAACCTTTTTGAAAAGGGTTCTACATAGCACCCAAAAGCATTCTTCTATTTTTACAGTGTCAAGCTTGTAACAATAGAAGAACCCTTTTGAGTACTATATAGAACCCTTTTCAAAAGGTTCTATATAGAACCATCTCCATCAGTCTGAAGAACCCTTTCATGATGCAAACAACCCTTTAATCATGAATGGTTTCTTTGAGCGTTCATGGTTCTATAAAGAGCCATTTTCTTTACTAAAGAACCCTTGAAGCACCACCTTATTTAAAAGTGTGGAACCCTTTTTGGTGCTATATAGAACCCTTTTCAAAAAGGTTCTAGACAGAATCATATGAAACACATTCTCCTTCAATCCGAAGAACCTTTTGATGATGCAAAGAATCATTTAATCGTGCAAAGGGTTCTTTGAGTGTTCATGGTTCTATATAGAACCATTAACTAAAAATTTTTTTCAAGTGTGTACTGTTTCACTCTCTGTGTGCTGTGAAGGATACTGGTCGAGCTTCTCCTGCTCATCCATGTTCTCCAGGCTCTCGATAAGCGTTCTCATGCCTTTGACCCACGATTGCGCCTCCTCCGGCGACTCGGCCACCAGGTCCAGGTTGCCGCGGCGACCACGGAACACCAGCGTGAAGCAGCGGTCCGGCGGGAACTCGTCGGCGATGCTGAGCAGGACTTCAGACTGATGACCCTCTCTAACTGCCTCCACATCACTGATGGAGACTGGACACACAGGCGTACGTCCATAGATGAACACCACATACACATCTACACTCTTAAAAATGATGGTTCTTCAAATTTATGGCGTTAAGAAAAAAATATGATTTTTCCCTGATTTTCTATTATTTTCCATCATCAACATTCCATATAAAACTCAGAAGACATGTGTAGGTTCTCTGGTGGTTTTAGATAGTAAATAAAATGGCTATATGGCATGCTGGCAGGGCCCAAACTCTGAGCGAGGACAAAGCCCGGCGAGGACGGCAGGAACAGGAGAACTGTGAGTGGGAGGGGGACGGCACACGAATCCTGGGTTTCGGCACCACTGTAGCACGACCTGTGCTACCCCGGGCTCAGGAAGGAGGCTGGAGGCAGGGTTCAGGTTTGCAGCAGCCACTATTAATTTATTTTTCTCTCCAAACAAACAAACCAAAGCCAAACTGGCCACTTATCAGTGGCTTCACACTAGACTTTCAGTCCTTTACTCCAAAACCAAAACCTATGCTGGACACTTTAAAACAAGACTACTCGGTCCTTTTCTCACTCAAGCTTTTCAGTTCTTCACTCTATTGCTGCTGCTGCTGCTCATCCCTTTCTCTCTCTCCCTGTTGCCTCTCTGCCAGGTGTACACTCCGTTGCCAGATCAGCATCAGTTGGCTCTCATTAAGGGCAGCGTGAGCACCTGAGCCATCCCCCACACTTGCGGTTCTCCTCTCCCCACCGTCCTCACAGGGCTTCGTCCTCGCTCAGAGTTCGGGCCCCGCCTTCCTGCCGGCTCTCGTGTCCGTCATCGGGCCCAGGGGGACGGGTGCATGCCATAGACTATATTTGTGTTGTAGTCATGGCGCCCCCTGGTTCCTATCACCACCACTTCAGGTTTCAAAGAAACCTGAACCATTTCACACCAAACCATTGTGAATCACCCTGTTTATGTCTGAATTATTCAATTATGTGGAATTTTTTTTTCAATTAGTGGAATTTTCCCCTTTAAAGGTATCAAAAGCAAAAATCAGTAACAGCTAAGATTATTTCCCCGTTTCTATTCCCAGATCAAAAGCATATTCCGAAGCTCTTTCCCAGAATTGCGTAGATGTCTCTTCCCAGCACCAAATCCAGAGTTTATGGAGTAAAAGGCTCATACTGAGTGGGATTTTCCATGGCCAGCGGAGCTTACAGGTGGAGTGGGCGTTGCCCGCTTTTTTGCTCTTGTACCAGATGGTGGCGCAGTCGTCCTGCAGGCGGAAGTAGCGCTGCTTCTTCCAGGTGCGGGATTTCACCTTCCGCATCACGGCCCCAACGTGCATCGACTGCAGGTTGGCGTCCATCTGAATACCTGGAAAGGTGGGCAGACGGACAGGTGAGTAAGGCTGTCACAGTCATGAAATTTCAGTTGACATTTAACTGTCGTATAAATAACGATTGATTTGTCTCTGTAGGCAACTGCTCAAGTACAAGCCTAAATTGGCCATTGGCCATTGTTAGCAGCTACCACTGGTGATACTGTCTAAACCCTATACTGTTATTGGTTTTGAAATAATCTGGGAAATAATCTCTACATGTAAATTATTATCAACATTACCCACAATAGTCACCACATATTAAGTAATCACTGTGGCAAACCTGAATTACATTACTAAAGTCTCCTCATATCAAAATTTAAACCTTGAAACTTATGGGACGCAGGCAAAACTTGACCCAGATTGGCCTTCAGGGGCGCTATAGCAATGATACTTTAATGATAAATCATTAAAAATCCATTTCCCATTATTTCCCATTTCCTACACTCTCAGAAATAAAGGTACTAAACTGTCACTGGGTCAGTGCCTCTCTTGTCACTGGGGTGGTACTCTCAAGGGTTCATCTCAGTACCTTTAGTCAGGGAACATAACTGTACCATAACCCATTGAGATTATATTTTCTAAGTTGTATTGACTCCACACATGTTACTCTCTAACATTTATCTCATGGCTGTCAAACAGGCCCCAGTCCCGCGCATCAGGCTTCACTGAGCTGACCGGTGCTTGGACCCCGCACATTGCCACTTGTGGCTATATTTGTGGTGGATAACATGCAAACCAGCTCAAATTCAATCCGTCACCAGTGTTGTTCCTAGATTTTCTTGTTCTATTAAAATAATTGGTTTCCATTACAGTTTTTCATGGCATTATTTATTGCAATACAGTCGATTTACATTGTTTACATATTTACATGTGTGCTAAAACTCGAGTGTTAGCCTGAATGAAAAATATAAGATACAAATATGATAAAACACGGCTGATCAGACCCTATCTGAGAACTGTGTGGGCGTGGCTAATAAGCAGCTTGATTGACAGCTCTCTGTCCAGCACTCCTAGACTGCTCCGCCCCTCATACAGAGCCAAAATCATTATCCAGCTTTTATGTGACGCTAACTGGGCGAAAAGACAGATGAACAGATGAACAAATGGACGGACGAAGTGTGAACGAAGGAACTTACTCGACCAGTGTTGGTGTTGGATAAATGAGTGAATGGCCAACAGGCAGCTACAGACAGCTTATGCTGGGTTAGCTTTAGGTCGCTAAGTTTCTCTGTCTCTTAAACTGTTCTGTGTGGGCGGGGCCAAAGACGCAGCCCTGTGATTGGTCAGGGGAATTCTTACAAGAGTGTTAGCCAAGATTAGAACCGCCCAGTTTACATGGAGAGGAGAGAAATACGGTGGAATATATCGGTCATTTGTTGGTCACTGGAACATTATTCAAAGGGTGAACTTAGTACATGTTTACTGTTTGATCAGGACTGACCTCATTACAAGGGTTAAAATCATTACAAAGATTTAGGTTCCCTGGGTCTTTAACTGGGGCCGATAAAGGCTAGTCAAGTGGCACTCAAGTGGGTTTTTTTTCCCAGGGGGAGGAGCCACAGTGTTGGGAGGGGTTTTGGTTGTCCAATGTGACTTGGTGAGATGGACGCATTTACATTAATATAACATCTGGCATCTCAGACCACCTCCAGAAGTGTTTTGAGTGATCAGATTTGAATCAGTTTTAAATGTAGTCTTGGGTGTGTTTACACCTGCATTTTGAATCTGGATCATCTCTATTTAATCCTGATGCTCAAGATGCAAGAAACGGCCCGGTGTAAACAGGGTCTAAACAGGTTCTAGTGCAAAAAATTAGCGTTTTTGTTTTCATAAGAACCACAATGTGCCTCAGTGCCTGCACTTACTACTTTACCTCAACCCAACAAACCCAATTCATATTCAACGACTGTGGACAGTAACCGATTGTCTCAAATAGCTACGATCATCTTAAATTCCTGTGATCAGGTCATTATGTAATATCTGTGAGGGGCTTGCAGGTGAGACGGACAGACAGACAAGGAGCGGTCAGACGACAGGTGACACACCTGACCCACATTCTGACGTCATCACGTGAACGCTGACCCCAACCCTGACCCTAATCCTGACCCCAGACTGACTGGAGTGAAATATCCGCCTCGCTCTCTCACGTTCAGGAAATCAATCCTGCGTTTCGCTGCACCCCCTCTCTCCTTCCACCACCTCTCTACCTCATGTTCCTTCATGCCAGCTTACTTCAAGCTATGGTTCAACCAAAAATCTGATTTTCCTTTTAGCCCAAATGTAGTCAATCAGCCAAGATGTGGCTAAAGAGTAATGGAGGTTAATACCCCACCAATTAGCATTGTGCTAACTGCCGGAATCATTCCACACCTGCCTTACACTGTGTCACGTTATTAAGTAATTTGTGATAGATTTTAATGCAGGGGTCTCAAACTACTGCTTCAGTTTCACACAGTCCATCACATACATGATAAGTGGGACAGTCGTGGGCCGGAGGTTAAGGAACCAGCCCTGTGACCGAAAGGTGGCCGGTTTGATCCCCTGAGCTGACAGTACGTGACTGAAGTGCCCTTGAGCAAGACACCTAACCCCCAACTGCTCCCCAGGTCCTGTGGATAGGCTGCCCACTGCCCTGGGCAAGTGTGCTTAGTGACCCCTAGTGTATGTGTGTGTTCACTAGTGTGTATATGGCTTTTCACTGCACGGATGGGTTAAATGCGGAGGTGAAATTGCCCCGTTGTGGGACTAATAAGCGTCTCTTAATCTTACTTACTTAAAATTTAAGCTCAAATCCGAAACATTCAATCCGAAATATTTACATGATTTGCTTCACGCACTGACGCCATGGCTGGTTACCCAGCACTCTTAGCAAAAAAGTGTTCCATGTAGTACTAAATAAGCGTTCTTTAACTCATTACTCAACAATAGTGGAACCTTTTTTAATAGGTTCCTTAAAGACCATATGGAGCTGGTTTTCCGTCACTTGCAATAACTTTAATCATGTTCAGGAGGAACAATAATGCTGTCACAATAAAAGTCCCATCAAATTCTACTGTTCACTAAATGGGAGTACTTGATTTAACTGAACACTAAAATAGTTATTAAACACTATGTGGGAATTATTACTAGTGTTATTACTAGTGATTAACTATTGTTATTTGATTTATTTTCTTCTTATTATTATTATTATTATTTTTTTTTCTGCCGGATTTTTGACTCTGCATTTTTCTAATGTTGAGCCTGATCAGGAATGGTATGCTTGCAAAAAGCTCTTTGACTGGATGTACGGTTCTCATTTGATCATCGTTAAGTGACAAAACATTTGCCCCTTAAGAATGAATGGAGCGCAGAAGTTTGTGCACTCAGCTTCAGTCATGATACAATGCCATACAAGCCAATTAGAAACACCCAATTAACCATGTGAGATATCATGGCAACCACCAGCAACCACTGGGGATACTATAACAACCGCCTAACAGTCCCTTAGCAACCACTTAGCCATAACAACAACCTAACAACACAACTAGCAACCACCTGGGACACCATTGTAACCACTTGGCAACACCTTAGCAACAACTTCAATTACCACAGCAACCTCGTAGCAACACTCTAGCAATCATCTGGGTTACCACAGCAACCACCTAGCAACACCTTAACAAACATCTGGCATAGCACAGCAACAGCCTAACAACACCCTAGCAACCACGTGGGACACCATCGCAGCTGCTTTAGCAACACCTTAGCAACCAACATAGCAACTTCATAGCAATACCCTAGCAACCATCTGGAATACCATAGCAACCACTTAGCAACATCCTAGCAACCACCATAGCAACTGCATAGCCACATCTAGCTTAAACTCATAATCACTCACTACATTTTCTTCGATAATAGCTCAATTTAGACATTATTATTATTATTATTATTATTATTATTATTATTAGCAGTAGCAACGGTAGTAGTTGTGGTTTGTGGTGACAAAAGAATTGCTAATAAACATCCATTAAAATGAATGAATGTACATGTTAAGTAGTTAAAAGTCAACTTTTTCACATTTTTTTGGCTTTACAATATTTGGTAAAATGTTGCATATAGGACACTTTTTTCCTTGCATTTTTTTCAACAGGCTGCTCCTTGAAAAAAAAAAAGAGGAAAAGACCACCTGGCTAGTGGCCCCCAGGTAATTTCAGTTTGAGACCCCTGATCTGAAGGACATATACTGCATAAAAGGATATTTTCAAAAAGTAGCAGTCAGTCTCTTAAAGCCTGAATTTTTTCATACTTTAGTTAAACAATAGAACACTCGAGGAGTGTGTTATCACAAAATAACATCACGGCTGTGATTTGGTCGCCGTAGATCATCACAGCCGTGATGTTATTGGCGATAACACACTCCTCGAGTGTTCTACTGCTTTTATATAACAGTTAAATAAATACAGTAATAAATTAATAAACTGGGCCGTGAACGCGGCGTTTAATATGTTTTAATGTTCAGTTCCTTCACCAAATTATAGTTCCTTAACGAGCAGCTTGTTGCTACGTCAGAATAACGAGCTCCGCCCACTCGCTGCACAGCCGGCAGTTTGTTCTCCAGCTCCTTACACTAAATTCCCAAACTGTCGTCACCACTGAGCAGCTTTTTAGTCGGCAGCTGTGACAGAAGAACAGCTAAACAACCTGGAATCAGCCAGAAATGAACCCAATACCATTCGCCAAAAGTGTAGTCTGATCTTCAGAGTCTGACCAAATCAGACTGAGCCATAAAACTGCCGCAATATCAAGTTCAGCTCAGTTTTGTCAGTTTTTGCCAGATCAGTATTAATGTTGTTTTGTTCCAGCCAGTCTGTAAAGCATCTTACAGCCCATTTAGTTTGGCGAATGGTGTTGGGTTCATTTCTGGCTGATTCCAGGTTGTTTAGCTGTTCTTCTGTCTCAGCTGCCGACTGAAAAGCTGCTCAGTGGTGATGACAGTTTGGGAATTTAGTGTCGTCTCATCTTCAGAGTCTGACCAAATCGGCTGTCGGTCAAATGTGATCTTAAAAGTGTCCATTTTCTGTTTGTGGAAAAGTAAGAAGTAACAGCACGGTTAGAACACTTCTCAACCAATCAGCTTGCGTGGCCGGAACTAACTGTTGTATAATCCATGTTTATAGATAACAGTGAGTCACACAGCGTCAGAACCCTCATAATCAGGTCTATCAGAGACGCTGAACACCACACACAGTGTGAGAAGAGTGTGTGATGATTCAGGCGTATAGTTAGCACAGTGCTAATTGGTGGTGCATAAGCTTACATTACCCTTTAGCCTTGTAGCTCCAGTACAAAACCAAAGCAGGAAACCACTGACGCCAAACGGTCGTGGTTAACTGACATTATGTCCAGTCAATCAGATGGGGATGTGCACGTCTCACCTCAGCAGCCTGGCAGGCGACCGAGAATAAACTCTGACCAGAACGTCCGGTTCTTAGTAAAGCTGCATCAGCATTAATTGCACATGTTTCAAGCATCGTATTATTACGCTTATCAGGCCACTGTTAGAGCTGCAAACACGGCAGTACTGCAGGTTTCTGTAACTTTACTACACTGCTTACTTTCCTCAAAAGCCTTTTGAGGCGTCCAGCTGATAAACTTCAGAATAACTCACTTCTGGACAGAAGCGTGACCATTTGCATACCAATATATACACATACATATATGTTTATATTTCTGCAGCTTCTCTGCTTATCTAGTATTTGCCTCCCAAATGAGACAGAGAAGAAAAAGTTCATTATTCTCGCTTTTCTAACGCAGCGCTATCTTTTTTAAGCGCCTCAAAAAGGACCCTTTGGTTGCGTGCAATGAATGAGCCATGTGATAGCGCACTTACGGAGGAAGCTTTGGTGGTTAGCCATCTGCTGCTCGGTCATACTTCAGGTATCTGCCACAAAGAAAGAGACAGACAGAAAGAGAGACATGAATGCTGGAGAATAATGAAGGCTAGAGAAGATATAAATAGTCATAATAGGGCTGAATGACCAGCACTGCAATTGCCATGTAAATATCTACAATATCTACATCTATGAATTCATGTCCAGGCCTGTTTTTTTGGCCAAGAAGACCAGAATGTCCACTTTTCTGGCATGAGCGCATCAGACTAGCAGTTAGTTGTGACGGTTGTGATGTCACAAATGCAGAACGTGGGTTTTTGTTGGTTAAAGTCATTTACAGGCAGTTCAAAACCTCTCTGTTATTAGGTTACATTTCCCCCAATTTAAAACCTGCTAAAGGGGAATTCCACCCATTTTTCAAAATTTCTGCATAATTCAGTGTTTGATGTAAACAGAGTGATTCAGAGTGGTTTGGTGTGAAATGGTTCAGATGTCTTTACAGTGGTGGTGATAGGAACCAGGGGTTGCCATGACTACAACACAAATGTAGACATTTTATTTATTGTCCAAAACCACCAGTGAACCTACACGAGTCTTCTGAGTTTATATGGAATGTTGATGATGGGAAAATAGTGGAAAATCTGAAATAATAAGTTTTCTTTGGGGACTATTTTGCCTCACAACACCCTTAATGTATCCCTTCACCAAGAATGGATTGAAATAAACTGATTAAAACCACCATAAAACAGGCAGTGAATTCATAACCATTTCATGTAGTAACTTTCTGTGAGGCAGCTTTTAGAGGTGGACGTCTGGTTCCTATCACCACCACTGTGAACAGCTCTGACTCTCTAGAACGGAGCGTTTCACACCAAACCACTCTGAACGACTCTGTTTACATCTTAACCATTAATTATACAGACATTTTGGAAAATTGGTGGAGTTTCCCTTTTATGACAACATTGTTAATGATGTATTCTACACTCTTAAAAATGAAGTTTCTTTAAGGGTTCTACACAGAACCATAAACACTCAAAGAAGCCTTTGCACAATTAAAGGGTTCTGCATCATGAAAAGGTTCTTCAGATTGGTGGAGAATGTGCTGTAGATGGTTCTATACAGAACCTTTTTGAAAAGGGATCTATATAGCACCAAAAAGGGTTCTGCTATTGTTACGATGCCAAGCCTATAATAATAGAAAAACTCTTTGAGTATAGAACCATGAGTTCTACACAGAACCATTCATTCTTAAAAGGTGAAATGGTTCTTCAGATTGATGGAGAATGTGTTGTTGTTTTTAAAAATGGTTCTATAAAGCACCAAAAATGATGGTGCTTCAAGGGTTCTTTAGTAAAGGAAAATGGTTTTATATAGTAAACAAACAATTATTTAAGCTTAATAAGTGCAAAAACAGAGAGAGAGAGAGAGAGAGAGACAGAGAGAGAGAGACAGAGACAGAGAGAGAGACAGAGAGAGACAGAGAGAGACAGAGAGAGAGAGAGAGAGAGAGAGAGAGAGAGAGAGAGAGAGAGAGAGAAAGAAATAGAGAGAGAGAATAGGGAGCTCCTGTGCTGGGATTATCTGTGTCTTTGTAATGGTCAGTCTGCTGGCCATGTAAAGGCATGAGAATTCAGCCGGTCACTCCAGCCAGTATTGTGTCCAGTAGAGGATTTTGTGTGCCCAGGATTCTCTTCACCTAAAAAATGCATGGTCAGCCAAAGAGCTCAGACCTAAAGCCCTCAACGCCCAGCACCATCAGCCCCACCGGAAAAATGATTCCCTACTAGTTACTAACATTTACACCGATCAGCCATAACATTATGACCCGCTACTCGTTTCTACACTCATTGTCCATTTTATCAGCTCCACTTACTATATAGGTGCACTTTGTAGTTCTACAGTTACAGACTGTAGTCCATCTGTTTCTCTGCATACTTTGTTGAAACTTACAGAGTCAGAGCTGTTCACAGTGGTGGTGATAGGAACCAGACGTCCACCTCTAAAAGCTCCCTCACAGAAAGTTACTACATGAGATGGTTATGAATTCACTGCCTGATGTCTGAGACGTTGAGTGCATTTACATGCACTTAATAATCCGATAATAGGGAAACTCCAGGTCTACATGAGTCAGACAGTAATCAGACTTTTGCTTTACAATCAGCCAATAAACTCACAGAATAAGACGTGACGTAAACATAACATAAAACGTCATGCTGCGGCTTTTTTTTTAAACATCAACCCACATTACCTAAAAATACGAACATACATCATCTAGAAGATGAAGAATGTTTAAATCCTTTATTTCGTGTTTGGTTTCAGCGCCGCTCCAAAAGTGTTTTGCTGCGTCTCGCGGCGACGCTGCTCACTTATTTCCGGTACCGCCGTCTGTTCTCACGCATGCGCAGACTGAGAAATCCGAAAGAAATCAGAGTAAGAGTTTACAGCACTGAAAAATCTGATTACTGAGCTAAAATCCAGACTCTTTATCAGATTTCATTCTTTCTGGATTTCTAGACCTTACTCCGATCTGAGAAATCAGAGTTTGCTGTTTACATGACCATTTTGAATAATCAGATAACTGCAGAAATCTGATTATGATCAGATTATTGAGTTCATGTAAACTCACTCATTGTTTCGAGGTAGGGCTTTGGCCTAAAATGCATTTTGTAAATGGTGGAGGGAGACATGCAGAGTGTTCTACGGCAAAATAGTCCACAAAGAAAACTTATTATTTCAGATTTTCCGCTATTTTCCCATCATCAACATTCCACATAAAACTCAGAAGACTCGTGAAGGTTCACTGGTGGTTTTGGATAGCAAATGGAAGGGTTATATTTGCATTGCAGACATCGTGACTCCTGGTTCCTATCACCACCACAGTAAAGAAATCAGAATCGGCATGTTTATCTGCAATTAAACACTTCAAACGTCTCTGACTGGCACCCTAACGAAGGCAATGGCTGCTGTTCCTGGCTTCCTCTCTTCCACACTAGACTTCTCAAACATTTTTACACTGATTTGTCCTGGAAATAAAGGCAATATTAATCTTTAGACATAATCCTAACGTAACAGCGTGAAGTCAGTTGAATACTCTGACTTACTGTGGCCTGAATTATATGGAATTTTTGCAGAATGTAGCATGTAAACACAATATTGCTAAAGTCTGGCCTTTTTCCCTACAGCAATGCATTTGTTCCAGCAGAGTTGATCACTGTAATGCTCTTTTTACTGGACATCCTCTATAATACGTCCTCTACTACTCATACAGGACGCAGCAGCACACAGAGAGCTCATATCACCCCCGTTTACACACTGCACTGACCGCCTGGATCTTTCTGGACAGATTTTAAAGTTCTGCTGCTAGTTTTTAAGGCAAGGTGTACACTGCGGTCATTCAAAGTGCTTCACAAATGAGAAAATGCAAAGATTTAACAAGATGTAGGAGAGTAGAAATGAAAGAAATGATCAAAACAACAGATTTAAAAGAGAAGAAATAAACAATAAATTAAAAAATCAAATTAAAAATGAATTAAAGATGCTGAAATATGAAATAAAGTGCCATTACAGTAGTACGGGTACAGTAGTGGGCGGTATGAGCAAAATTTATATCACGGTATAATTAAGATTACAGACAGTTTCGGTATATAAATATAACCAAATAGAACTATTTTAGATCCTTAATTAAACATTTTTTCTGTAGATTAACAACAGCGTATTATTCTGGATGTCCCTTCACTTGAAATGAGAACCATATTTAACAGCTGAACTAAATCTAAAATATTTTTATTGATGTCAATATTGCTTTCAAACATTAATGAGATAAAGGTGAGTGTATATGAAGTCCACATCGATATAAACGGTAGGAAGCTGTTCGGCTTCATATTCGCCAGCTTCTTGTTCAAATTATCCTGTTCCACCTTAAATGGGGCTGCTGCGCCATTTAAGGTGGAACGGGAAAAAAACGGAAAACAAGCTGACGAACGGGAAGCCGACTTCAGCCTCGTAAAAAGGACCCTGAATGTTGTTTTCCATGTGAAACCTTTAATCAACGAGCGTCAGACGCTGCTGGAATTTCGTAAATATTACAGCCATTCACACTCTCGACTGCCTGAAGCAGCCGGCCAAGCAAAGGCTAAAGGTTAACCCCAAGAGACTGGCTTTTTCTTTCCACTCTGTTTTCCCCCTGTTAACTCATTAATTCGTTACAATGTGATGTCTGTCTCTTGGACAATAAACTGGACTAAACTGACCTCAGGCTGCAACTAACTACATGAGAAGTGAGCGTGTTTTGCGCTGATTGTACGTCGGATTATCTGTCTTTATTTGCGTACCGGTATAACAGTAATGACACAACACAGACTGCTGGTCACCATAGCAACGCAATCTTGTTTGGCTAGTATCTAACAAAAAGGCAGGTGAAAATCGTTAATTTGGAGACGAATGGACTTATTTGCATCTATAAGCACTCAGCTGGTTTCTGATACGTTTAATCTGCGTTCAGCGGCTTCTTGTTTGAATGATGGAGTTTGAACTCCATCAACCTGAAGAACCATTTCATGATGCAAAGAACCCTTTAATAATGCAAAGGGTTCTTTGAGCGTTCATGGTTCTATATAGAACCATTTTCTTTGCTGAAGAACCCTTGAAGAACCATCATTTTAAGTGTGTTTATAGGATCATTTCATGTTTAAATGGTTCTTCAGATTGATGGAGACTGTGCTGTGTATGGTTCTATATAGAACCTTCTGGAAAATGGTCTCAGTTCGGTTTAGGGGGGTCTGAGTTCGTTTAGCGTGTTCACACATGGACAGAAAACCATGACTCAGCAGTCTGAGTCCACTTCAGTCCACTGAAACAGCCCAAGTGTGAAAAGAGAACAGCGATACCAATACAGTGGTAAACCTGCCTGGTTCTGAAAGGCCAAAGGAAAAAAAGAGCTCTAAAGGGGAATTCCACCAAAATTTCTGCCTAATTGAGTAACTGAGATGTGAACAGAGAGATTCAGAGTGGTTTGGTGTGAAATGGTTCAGATGTCTTTACAGTGGTGGTGATGGGAACCAGGGGTCGCCATGACTACAACACAAATATAGACATTTTATTTACTATCCAGAACCACCAGTGAACCTACACGAGTCTTCTGAGTTTACATGGAATGTTGATGATGGAAAATAGTGGAAAATCTGGAATAATACGTTTTCTTTGGGGACTATTTTGCCTCACAACACCCTGCATGTATTCCTCCATCATAAATGGATTTAAACAAATGGATTAACAAGACGTTTAAGGCCAAAACTTTATCACAAAACTACTGTAAAATAAAGTCTCAGGCATCAGGCAGCGTATTCGTAACACGTCATGTAATAACTTTCTTTGGGGACTATTTTGCCTTAGAGCACCCTTCATGTATCCCTCCACCATGAATAGACTAATAAACTGATTAACACTTTATCGCAAAACCACCATAAAACAGGCGGCGAATTCATAACCACTACCTGTAATAACTCTCTGTGAGGGAGTTTTTAGAGGAGGACGTCTGGTTCCCTATCACCGCCACTGTGAACAAGTCTGACTGAGCATTTCACACCAAACCGCTCTGAATGACTTTGTATACATCGTAAATGTTTGATTAGGTAGATTTTTTGGAAAATTGGTGGACTTTCCCTTTAATTAAACAGAGAAAGACAGAAAGAAAGTGATGTATGTGTGACTCACCGGCCGGGTTGTCCCGGGTCAAGGTAAGAAAGGGGTCGGAGGGGTCCGCTGTTCCCGCTCTGCTCCGCCGGTCCGGCTTCGCTCTCGCCACGCTAACACAGCGCCGGAGACGGGCTGTGTTTTGGCGTTGTTTCCCCACCCGTATTCCTACAAGCCCCGCCCCTCCTGTGCTCTGATTGGCAAGTTCGCACTCTGAAGCTGCCAACCGGCTGCGTCGTAGATTGATAAGCCCCGGGGCTTGTCGGAAAACGGGTGGGAAAAACAAGGAGAGGGCAAACAGACGGCTAATCTCACACAGTTCTCTTCCGTCTGAGGTGAATTCTCTCTCTCTCTCTCTCTCTCTCTCTCTCTCTCTTTCTCTTTCTCTCTCTCTCACCTTTTCACCTCAGCGACAGCGCTTTATCGTCTATCTCACCATTCCTTCAGGTGAACGCAGTCACATTTAAAGGGAAACTCCACCGATTTTTCAAACCTTTCTGCACAATTAAATGGTTGAGATGTAAACAGAGTCGTTCAGAGTGGTTTCGTGTGAAACGCTCCGTTCTAGAGAGTCAGAATTGTTCACAGTGGTGGTGATAGGAACCAGACGTCCACCTCTAAAAGCTCCCTCACAGAAAGTTACTACAGGAAGTGGTTATGAATTCACTGCCTGTTTTATGGTGGTTTTGGTGGTTAAAGGTTTAATAATAATGTATTAGTCTATTCATGGTGGAGGGATACATGACGGGTGTTCTAAGGCAAAATAGTCCCCAAAGAAAACGTTCCCACTGTTTTCTCATCATCAGCATTATGTATATAACTATGTATATACTATATATAAGAACCATTTTCTTTACTAAAGAACTCTTAGTGAATCATCATTTTTAAGAGTGTAGAGTACATCGACATGTTGTCTTAAAAGGACAAGTCCACCAATTTTCCAAAATGTCTGCATAATTAAGTGGTTAAGATGTAAAGTGGTTTGGTGTGAAACGCTCCGTTCTAGAGAGTCAGAGCTGTTCACAGTGGTGGTGATAGGAACCAGACGTCCACCTCTAAAAGCTCCCTCACAGAAAGTTACTACATGAAATGTATAGTAAAAAATGGCTGTTTTATGTTGATTTTAGTCAATTTATTTCAATCCATTCATGGTGGAGGAATACACGAAGGGTGTTGTGAGGCAAAATAGACCCCAAAGAAAACGTATTATTTCAGATTTTCCACTATTTTTCCATCATCAACATTCCATATAAACTCAGAAGACTCGTGTAGGTTCACTGGTGGTTCTGGATAGTAAATAAAATGTCTATATTTGTGTTGTAGTCATGGCGACCCCTGGTTCCTATCACCACCACTGTAAAGACATCTGAACCATTTCACACCAAACCACTCTGAATAACTCATCTCATGTTTACATCCCAACCATTTAATATGAGTTATTTAGAATTTCTGAAAAATGGGTGGAATTCCCCTTCAAGGCAGAAACAGGATAGTGGGGTTACATAAGCGTTCAGAACGGGGTCCTTCCTAAGAAAAGGTGCAGTGTGTGTGTGTGTGTGTTGGGGGGGTGTTAAGGGGTGCACAGGGCAGTGTGTGGAGCTTCTACACTTTCACAACTCCTCCAGCGGGTCGCACGCCTCAGCGGCTCGAGCCGCTTCTGATGCGGAACAATGCGGGGTCAGGCTTTTCCATCCAGCCTTTCATGCACTCCAGTTTTCTCGGGTTACGCTGCCAGACGGGTCACAAAGGCCGGTTTAAAGGGTCACTAACGTGGAAAACTGGAGACACGTACCATTTCTTACAAACATACCCCGGCCCTTATATCAGGGCAGCTTAGCCACAAGAGCTAGCCCATTTTGAATTCGCCATGGTTGTGATGCCACAACAACAAACACCTTTACCTATGAGGCCCGTTAGGCCTGCAGCGGTTTAGCCGGCCTGTTCAAATTGAGCAAGGGGTCTGTTTAAAACAGAGGAAGAGGTCATGCTGCAGTATGGTGTAGTCATACACTCTTAAGAAAGAGGGTTCTTCAAGGGTTCTTTAGTAAAGCGAAGGGTTGTGTATAGAACAATGAGAACCATTTGCATGGTGAAATGGTTCTTCAGATTGACGGAGAATGTGTTGTGTATGGTTCTACATAGCACCAAAAAAGGGCTCTGCTATTGTTACGATGTCAAGCTTGTGACAATATAAGAACCCTTTTTGGAACCCTTGAAGAACCATCTTTTTAAAGAGTAATTTGGTCACGTCCAAATGAGGTGGGGGGGAGGGCGATGACCCACTCAGAGAGAGAGAGAGAGCGAGAGAGAGAGGCAGGTTATACTAGGGTTGGGCAAAACGACGATATTATATCATCATCGCGATAAATTACCTCACAGTATGCTTTTCTGAGCGTATCGTGAATATCGTCAGTACTTAAAGAACACGTTTCATTACAAAGCGAGCAGAATTAGGCCTGTTTAACCGGATTCAGTGCAGTGCAGTTTGTAAAATACTGATTAAAAATCATTGTAGTTGTACGTCTTTTATTATTACTTTTTTAATAATAATAATATTATTATTAGTGTTTTTAATACACAGCACTATTTTGTGTGTTTCAACTTATTAAATCTCAGAAAAACTAAATATCGTGATGCATATTGTGTATCGTGAAAATGTCTTGAAATATTGTGATATAGTATTTTTGCCATATCGCTCCAGCCACAGATGTGAAATGCTCAGTTCTAGAGAAACTGTTCAGAGTGGTGGTGATAGTAACCAGACGCCCCCCTCTAAAAGCCCCCTCACAGAAAGTTACTACATGAAATGGCTAGAAATACACTGCTGATGCCTTAGGTTCACTGGTGGTTCTGGATAGTAAATAAAATGTCTATATTTGTGTTGTAGTCATGGCGACCCCTGGTTCCTATCACCACCACTGTAAAGACATCTGAACCATTTCACACCAAACCAAACTCTGAATCTCTCTGTTTACATCTCACACACTGAATTATGCAGAAAGTTTGAAAAATTGGTGGAGTTTCCCTTTAAATCAGTGAAATGATCAGTCAGACCATCTCAGATCAGCTGAAATGACTGAATAAGTGTCATTGGGAGGCAGAGGGAGGGTGCTGTCCTCGTCTGGCCCCGTCCGAGTGGGCCTCCTCCGCACAAACAAGCGCTCCTCGAGTGTGCGAGGAGGAAGGAGGTGCTGTCTGTGCTCGACGCAGCAGGGTCTCTTCCCCTCCGTCTCCTCCTGATCAGGTTTCTGCTCATCAATAAAACACAGCGGAGCTCAGCTTCCCAGCTCCACTTACACGCGCAGAGCGCCAGCCATCCTTACACCGGGGGTCCCTTCACCGAGTGGCCGGCTGGGGACCAAAACACTTTCCATTACGAGCGGCAACTCTCACCCAACTGGCCGCTAGGCGTCTGATCAAATTTGTTTTTCCCGTCAGCTCTCAGCTCTCAGGACACGTTCACGTTTCACTTACGTCATCACAAAGTTCACGATTACGGTGCTGCTGTCATTGGGATTTCGTAATGCTCATCGTTCACAAGCCATTCATTTAAACTAGATCTCGCCATGAACACCCAGCCACTGGATAACAGGCTTTAAAGGGCCCGTACCATGGGTTTAAAGGGCCCGAACCATGGGTTTAAAGGGCCCGAACCATGGGTTTAAAGGGCCCGAACCATGGGTTTAAAGGGCCCGAACCATGGGTTTAAAGGGCCCGAACCATGGGTTTAAAGGGCCTGTACCATGGGTTTAAAGGGCCCGTACCATGGGTTTAAAGGGCCCGTACCATGGGGATTATTTAACGTTAGGCTTTAAAGGGCCTGTACCATGGGGATTATTTAACGTTAGGCTTTAAAGCAATTTTACTTAAGAATGGGCTTTAAAGGGCCCGTATAATGGGATTATTTAATGTTAGGCTTTAAAGGGTCCATATCATGGGATTATTTAACGTTAGGCTTTAAAGGGTCCATATCATGGGATTATTTAGCGTTAGGCTTTAAAGGGCCCGTATCATGGGGTTATTTAACGTTAGGCTTTAAAGGGCCCGTATCATGGGATTATTTATTGATAGGCTTTAAAGGGCCCGTATCATAGGATTATTTAGCGTTAGGCTTTAAAGGGCCTGTATCATGGGGTTATTTAACGTTAGGCTTTAAAGGGCCCGTATCATGGGATTATTTATTGATAGGCTTTAAAGGGCCCGTATCATAGAATTATTTAACGTTAGGCTTTAAAGGGCCCGTATCATGGGATTATTTAACGTTAGGCTTTAAAGGGCCCGTATCATGGGATTATTTATTGATAGGCTTTAAAGGGCCCGTATCATAGAATTATTTAACGTTAGGCTTTAAAGGGTCCATATCATGGGATTATTTAACGTTAGGCTTTAAAGGGCCCGTATCATGGGATTATTTAGCGTTAGGCTTTAAAGGGCCCGTATCATGGGATTATTTAGCGTTAGGCTTTAAAGGGCCCGTATCATGGGGTTATTTAACGTTAGGCTTTAAAGGGTCCATATCATGGGATTATTTAGCGTTAGGCTTTAAAGGGTCCATATCATGGGATTATTTAGCGTTAGGCTTTAAAGGGCCTGTATCATGGGATTATTTAGCGTTAGGCTTTAAAGGGCCCGTATCATGGGATTATTTATTGATAGGCTTTAAAGGGTCCATATCTTGGGATTATTTAGCGTTAGGCTTTAAAGGGTCCATATCATGGGATTATTTAACGTTAGGCTTTAAAGGGCCCGTATCATGGGATTATTTATTGATAGGCTTTAAAGGGTCCATATCATGGGATTATTTAGCGTTAGGCTTTAAAGGGTCCATATCATGGGATTATTTAACGTTAGGCTTTAAAGGGCCCGTATCATGGGATTATTTATTGATAGGCTTTAAAGGGTCCATATCATAGAATTATTTAACGTTAGGCTTTAAAGGGCCCATATCATGGGATTATTTAACGTTAGGCTTTAAAGGGCCCGTATCATAGAATTATTTAACGTTAGGCTTTAAAGGGCCCGTATCATGGGATTATTTAACGTTAGGCTTTAAAGGGCCCGTATCATAGAATTATTTAACGTTAGGCTTTAAAGGGCCTGTATCATAGAATTATTTAACGTTAGGCTTTAAAGGGCCCGTATCATAGAATTATTTAACGTTAGGCTTTAAAGGGCCCGTATCATAGAATTATTTAACGTTAGGCTTTAAAGGGCCCGTATCATAGAATTATTTAACGTTAGGCTTTAAAGGGCCCGTATCATGGGATTATTTAGCGTTAGGCTTTAAAGGGCCTGTATCATGGGATTATTTAGCGTTAGGCTTTAAAGGGCCCGTATCATGGGGTTATTTAACGTTAGGCTTTAAAGGGTCCATATCATGGGATTATTTAGCGTTAGGCTTTAAAGGGTCCATATCATGGGATTATTTAGCGTTAGGCTTTAAAGGGCCCGTATCATGGGATTATTTAGCGTTAGGCTTTAAAGGGCCCGTATCATGGGATTATTTAGCGTTAGGCTTTAAAGGGTCCATATCTTGGGATTATTTAGCGTTAGGCTTTAAAGGGTCCATATCATGGGATTATTTAACGTTAGGCTTTAAAGGGCCCGTATCATGGGATTATTTATTGATAGGCTTTAAAGGGTCCATATCATGGGATTATTTAGCGTTAGGCTTTAAAGGGTCCATATCATGGGATTATTTAACGTTAGGCTTTAAAGGGCCCGTATCATGGGATTATTTATTGATAGGCTTTAAAGGGTCCATATCATAGAATTATTTAACGTTAGGCTTTAAAGGGCCCGTATCATGGGATTATTTAGCGTTAGGCTTTAAAGGGCCCGTATCATGGGGTTATTTAATGTTAGGCTTTAAAGGGCCCGTATCATGGGATTATTTATTGATACGCTTTAAAGGGCCTGTATCATGGGATTATTTATTGATACGCTTTAAAGGGTCCATATCATAGAATTATTTAATGTTAGGCTTTAAAGGGCCCGTATCATTGGTTTAAAGGGTCCGTATCATGGGATTATCTAACGTTAGGCTTTAAAGGGCCCGTATCATAGGATTATTTATTGATAGGCTTTAAAGGGTCCATATCATAGGATTATTTAAGGTTAGGCTTTAAAGGGCCCGTATCATGGGATTATTTATTGATAGGCTTTAAAGGGTCCAGATCATAGAATTATTTAACGTTAGGCTTTAAAGGGTCCGTATCATGGGATTATCTAACATTAGGCTTTAAAGGTCCCGTATCATGGGTTTAAAGGGCCCGTACCATGGGGATTATTTAACATTAGGCTTTAAAGGGCCTGTACCATGGGGATTATTTAACATTAGGCTTTAAAGGGCCCGGATTATGGGGATTATATAACTTTAGGCTTTAAAGGGCCCGGATCATGGGATTATTTAGCGTTAGGCTTTAAAGGGCCCTGATCATGGAATTTTTCAATGTTAGGCTTTAAAGGGCCCGTATCATGGGATTATTTAATGCTACAGCCAATGACAAAAGAGCAGTTGGAGGAGGAGCCACCGCTCACTATGTAGATCTGAAGGGCTCATTCTAAGCTAACGAAAACAGAACTCGTAGTTACAGTTAATTAGACACTAATGAAAACAGGGTTTTTGTATGTAGTATATTTCATGTCTGCTAATAGATCTCTTAAATCTTACACACTGCATCTTTAATGGAGGAGTACTGAAAATAAGTCGTCAGCCCCTCAGTTTACACAAAATTAGGTTCTTAATTCATCTGTACACTCAGAGCCCCCTGCGAGAAGCATTACAGTCAAAGATTATTGCATCGACCGCAGAATAATCCTTAGCGTTTTAACGGATCGTCATATTTTACGACGGGACCTTTGTGTTTTATACAGGACGTGTGAAGCTGTGAAGCAGCAGACTCCAGAATCAAAAAGCCATACATGATTTAATATTTCATAAAGCCCCTTTATGCACTGAAATAAAGTAAACACAGTAACACCACCATCCAAAATATTTTACAAAAATCAATTTTTACAACCCCTTGCAAATCCCACCCCTTCCCCCCAACCCCTGCGCACCAAGCTGTAGAATGATTCAGTTGTATTTTACAGTATTCAAATGTTTCTACCAGCTGTGTGCAAGAGGGGGCTCAGTCTGTAAGACCGTAAGAGAGAGAGAGAATGATGGAGAGGCAGGCCTTCAAAAAAACAAAAACAAAAAAATAAACAGAACAAACAAACAAAAAAAAACGATGGAGTATGTTTTGCTGCTGGCAAGTCCAGTAAAGTCCAGAACGTCCGTGGAAATTTGCTTAAAGAACCTGAAAGCAAAACGTTAAGCACCTTTCCTAAGTCTTGGCAAAAACCCCTCAAGTCTAAGTGCTCTTGAGTACAAGAACAGTCCGTGTTGTGTGTGTAAGCATGTAAAACTCCAGCTACAGAGAGATGTGTTGGCTTATGACCCTGTTTCTGTGTCAGGTTTTGGATGAGGTCTCCGTGTGCGTTATTGTGAAGGCAGTGGGATTCCGCGGGGGTCTGTGACCTGTCCTTCCTGCAGGTTCTTGACCAGCTGGGCTAGCCAGCGTTTGGTGGTGGTGTCGTCCTTCAGCACCTGGGCGAAGGTAGTGTCCTTCAGCTGGTCGGGCAGACACTGACGGAGCGCCTCTCTCGCTCTACGCAGACAGACACAGAGACAGAGATAGACGGACAACCAGACAGAGGGAGAGAGGGAGACAGGGAGAGAGAGTGAGAGAGAGAGAGAGAGAGAGAGAGAAGGAAATGCAAACAAAATGAAACCTGTGCAAACATCACTTGATCAGTGTAAACAGTTTCATCTTATTGTGGTTTATGCAAAACAAACCAGCCTCCCAAAAATATTCTCCCAGTCCAGCTATGCAGCACGCAAAGGGCTGCAACTGGCGATATTTCTGTAATCAATTAACCTATTAAACATCTGTTTTGATTAACCAACTAATCCAACTATTGTGTTCCTGTTTCAGTGGAAAGGAACGATAGCATAAAAATGGAGTATGGAGAATGCAGCTCCGTCTTGTTTACAGTCAATAATGAATATCCTTACAGTGTAAATATTTCTCTTGCTTGTTTATTTCTAATTGCTTATATTGTTAATTTTGTGAATAAGGTTTATGTGAAGGATAGAGTTTATGTTTTTTTGTCTTAGATTTTTTTATCTTTAGTATTATATATATACAACACACACACCGATCAGACATAACATTATGACCACCTCCTTGTTTCTACGCTCATTGTCCATTTTATCAGCTCCACTTACTATATAGGTGCACTTTGTAGTTCTACAGTTACAGACTGTAGTCCATCTGTTTCTCTGATACTTTGTTAGCCCCCTTTTACCCTGTTCTTCAGTGGTCAGGACCCCCATGGACCCTCACAGAGCAGGTACTATTTGGGTGGTGGGTCATTCTCAGCACTGCAGTAACACTGACGTGGTGGTGGTGTGTTAGTGTGTGTTGTGCTGGTACGAGTGGATCAGACACAGCAGTGCTGCTGGAGTTTTTAAACACTGTGTCCACTCACTGTCCACTCTATTAGACACTCCTACCTTCTCAGTCCACCTTGTAGATGTAAAGTCAGAGACGATAGCTCATCTGCTGCTGCACAGTTTGTGTTGTTCATCCTCTAGTCCTTCATCAGTGGTCACAGGACGCTGCCCACAGGACACTGTTGGCTGGATATTGTTTGGTTGGTGGACTATTCTCAGTCCAGCAGTGACACTGAGGTGTTTAAAAACTCCAGCAGCACTGCTGTGTCTGATCCACTCAGACCAGCACAACACACACCAACACACCACCACCACGTCAGTGTTACTGCAGTGCTGAGAATGATCCACCACCCAAATAGCACCTGCTCTGTGAGGGTCCATGGGGGTCCTGACCACTGAAGAACAGGGTAAAAGGGGGCTAACAAAGTATGCAGAGAAACAGATGGACTACAGTCTGTAACTGTAGAACTACAAAGTGCACCTATATAGTAAGTGGAGCTGATAAAATGGACAACGATAGTAGAAACAAGGAGGTGGTCATAATGTTATGGCTGATCGGTGTATATTGTCTATACAGCACTAAGTAACAACTGTAACCTTGTTAAGTTACAACAAGGTTAATTACTTTGTTACTTCTCTTCTTGAGTGCCTTGCTATCCTTTTGCTGCTGTAGCACTGTGAATTTCCCCACTGTAGGACTAATAAATGATTTTCTTGGAAATACAGCAATGACTATGGCTAGACCAAACAACAGAGCCATGAATAAATAAATAAATAAATAAATACATAAATACATACATACATACATACATGTTCAAATAAATCTTCAAAAATAAAGACAGGTTGAGGATATTTAAAATGTAAGTAAGTAAGATGAATCAGGCAAATAAATGTGAATAAACTTAATTTTTCACCATCAAAACTAACGTTGCCACTACGATTATACAACATAGTTTTTTTATTCGTCCTGTAACAAAATTAGTCGAAGCTACATCACTTTCTATAGTGTAGTGCAATCTACCTGCACGATTCCACATGTGAACATCAGTGCTTTTTTTTAGTAAAGAACACACAATAAAACCCACATTTCATATTTTTTCCATGTTCTACGCCTTTTTCAGGACATTATTACAGCCCAAATCAGGCTAAGACTGTTTCACACACCTCTATGGTTGTCAAAGCAGTGGGCAGTACGCGGTATGATGTGGGTTAACAGTGACGTCCCATCAGTAAAATCAAAACTGATCAATATATAGATAAATCCATGTCAATATTGTTTTCTATCAACTGCCAAAAACAGTGTTAAGAGTTGTTTCTCATCAATTTCTACTGAAGTTCTTATTGCCAACTTTTTGTTCCAAGTTTTTCGTTCCACCTTAAACGGAGCAGCAGTTACACTCTGGCACCTGTACACTCCTTAAGGTGGCATGGGAATTTAAGTAAGAAGCCACTTTCAGCTTCAGAGTTTCTTAAGTCATTTGTCTCATATGTGCATCCCAAAACACTCTGACAGTCAGACCCTGCACTGCATGGCTTTCGTGCACAAGGCCCAGAGACAGCAGGCCATCTGAAGCAGCTGACCGAGTCAGTAGGAGAGGAAACAGAGGAGCTTTATGTAAAAGGATCTATATAAAGCTAATGCTAACCCCAAAAGACCGGCCATTTGTTTACAGCCACAACCTCAAAAGTGGCCTGCTTTCGGACTAGACGGCAGGAGGTCATCGAGGGTCTGCTGCGTTTTCGTTTTCTGTTTGTAATTTTCTCTACAAAACTCGTATGTATCAAACGAACGTGTCGGTACCTCAATTACTACAACAATTATGACTATATAACTACTTTGCTATGACATAATCCAATACAGTCACTTTAGATGCTTGTATGAGTATATCGCTGCTGTCGGAACGAAACCTCGTATCTCCATTTTTGTTGTTTTTCACTTTTGGACATAATTTGAAAATGCCTGTTGCTCTTTACATTGTGTGTAAATTTCATGATGAATGGGCCGACAGAAACGGCCCAAAATGACGGGGGAAAAAAAAACTGGTTCCATTGACTTACATTAAAAGTAAAGTAGGTTTTTTCCTTCTCCTGTAAAGATACCATTTTGGAGATACGAGGTTTTCTTCCGACAATGCACGCTTTTCTTATAACAATAAACATCATATGTTAACAATAATGTCAATTTACATTATAAAAAGGGTAAGCATACTCTAACAAAAAGGATAGGAAGTAAAAAAGAGAGGTCATAAAAAAAAACAAAGAAACAAACAAAAAACTTACGTAAAGTCTGGCCGCCAGGGTCTTAAATAAACTAGTCATTAGACCAAATCTGACAGAATGTGTGAGTCTGAATTCTTAAGGAATAAGTTAGCTTTATATAGAGATGATTTGCATTAGTTGAGCTGGACATTCTCCAGCAGATGGATCCTGAACCTCGGTGCCGTTTCTGCACAGGTGTGATAAAGAATCAAAGCGTTTTCATTTTCACTGGAAACTTGACTGAAGCATTCCTGACTCTGACACTGAGCCAAAGCGGGTAACGTTAGCATGGGTTGCACTGTTTGTACCTTGCGTTACCTGTGCTTATTTGTGTTACACCAGGATTACGGTTATGACAACACTCACACCTGAGGAAGAATATACGACCCACTGCTCGCTGTCTATACAACTCAGATTCATTTTATTATAAGTGCCCATTTTGAAAGCTCACTAATTTGGCTCATTAGGAACTGGAGACATGAGGCCCACACAACAGGAAAGAGTAATAGTTGGTATTAAACGTAGCTGCTCGTAGTTTTAAATACCTGGAGTTGTCAGAGAGGCGCAGGTAACAGCGTACGACGTGCTTCAACAGCCGGGCCGAAGGCTCTTTAGACAGCTGCAGTACCATCTTCCCCTACGGCCAACCAGTCACAACACTGTTACCAACTGTGCAGTGAAATCACTAATTATCAAACACTGGGGCAAGTAAAATGAAATGAAGTGAAATCTAACCACTTAAGAACCCATCAGTGGTGCATTTCGTCCTTACCAGGATCATGGCTACGTGAGAGAATCGCTCGTAGGTCTGGCAGATGTAGGCCAGGCCCGTGTCATCCAGCAAGATCTTCTGCAAGATAAACGTTGCAACCTGCAGCACAGCAACACAACTGTTAGTACAAGTCAACTGGTCCCAGCTCTGCACGGACTTACTAGGCAGGATATCTAACAGGACACCTGGAAGCTAAAGCACCTGGGCTTTAATATCTCTGCCAAACTTACGTTAACAAATTAATATGTTGGATCATTTGCCCTCACGAGTTTACTCTAGTGCAGGGGTCGCAACCCAAATGTTAAGAAAAGCCATTTTGTCCTTTCAACAAAAATCAAACCACCTTGGGAGCCACAACATTTTATGTCCATTTTACCATCTTGGCTGTAAATACATCTCAGTATGTGCTCATGTGCTAAGATAAGAAAATATATAATATCAACGAAAACGCAGACTTACTTTGCTCTACTTTAAGCTTTAGCTCAGCTGTAGCTGCTTTTCTCGCATCTCCAGCAGGAAACTTTTCCCAAAAAGTCGGACAGTTTCTTGTAAAATGTCTCTAAACGTTCGATTTTTATGAGGCTTCTTGTACGAATTTTCCCGTTCCACCTTAAATGGAGTCTGAGGTGCCAGAATGTATCTGCTGCACCATTTAAAGTGGAAAATTCGAAGGAGAATCTGGCAAATGAAAAGCTGACTACAGCTTCACGACTATGACAGATTCTCGTTGCAGATTAAACGTATCAGGAAAGCAGCTGAGTGCTTATAAATGCAAATAAGTCGATTTGTCTCCAAACTGTCAATGTTATCGATGTTCATTTTTGTTTAATATAATTTTGGGGGATTTTTACCCAATTTTCGCCCCAATTTAGACGTTTCCAATTCCACCCGCTAGTTAAGACTCCCCCAGTCACACGATACTACCAAGGCTAGGAGGGTGAAGGCTAACACAGGCCTCCTCCAAGACCTGTGAAACCAGCCACCGCATCTTTTCAGACTGCCGCTCACGCAACGTCATTGGACAGCTGAACGCGCTCGGAGGAAAGCGTCAACCGCCAGATCTGTTACGTCAGCTAACAGACGCCTGCGCTGACTAACATTGCGTTAAGTGATGGGAACTTCTGATTTATTTAGCTGGAGCAAGGTGGTAGATTGGGGCTGGAACCAGGATCAAGATCGGGGTTCAATCTCCAGGACCAGGGCTGGTGACCACTGCATTAGATCATGTGAAGAGGCAGCCTCCAAAAAACTACCAGTTTAATTCGCAGTGACCAGAAAAAGGACCTCTAGCTATTATTTACCCACTTTCCCTGCTGCCTTTTTATCTGTTCATGAACCTATCATGTATACTCAAATATGAAAAGTAGTCAGAATCTGCATCATCAATGCAAACTAGTAACTAGCATGGCTATCTTGCATTTCCTGTGAGCTACAGTAGTGTTTGTGGCCAAACTACCCATTTAAAAGAGCCCTATTGTTGTAGAGCTAGCAATATTAGAGCATGGTGAATTTGTGACCGCACCGTCTTGGAGAGTTCGCTGCCGGACTCCATGATGCGCAGGCACAGTGGGATGATTTCTGTCGTCAACAGGAAGTTAATCACTTCTTGCTCGTCTGTTTTTACCAATGCTCCTGCGCACACACACACACACACACACACACACACACACACACAAATTTCATGTTTTGTCTTGCACAGAATTTCACAATAAAATCACACACAGATACATTTTCAATATGGGTGCAGATAAAAGCACATTTAATGCAAAAAGACATTAGTGACGATCCACTGTCGCACTTCAGATTTAGTCAAGTCAAAGTTTATTTATGTAGCGCTTTTTACAACAGGTGTTGTCATAAAGCAGCTTTACAGAAAAATCCGGGTCCGAGCCCCCATGAGTGTCGCCAATGGTAACAGTGGCAAGGAAAAACTCCCTAAGAGCAGGAGAAAGTAACACCGAGAGGAACCAAGACTCAAAAGGGGAACCCATCCTCTTCTGGTCGACACCGGATAGGAAACAGCATATTAGAATACAAAATATAAAATATTAGAATACAAAACGGGGAAAAACAGGTGGAGCAATGGTTAATTAGATAGATTGAGTTTATGCAGCAGCAGGAGGCTCAGATTTACCACTCAAATCCTGAGAACTCCTGAGAAACTGGCAGCTGAGCCGAAATTGTGAAGAGAGTGTTTTGACGTCTGGATTCAAACATAAACATGATACTGTTTTACACGCAGCTCCCGTTTGCACTCAGCTGTTCATGCACGTCTCTTTGCCTGTTTCTCCGCTCTTCTAGCTCTCTGATTGGCTGCTGTTTGAATCCCTCACTCACATCTCTGACCTTCTCACACCGCCGGACTCGTGAACATTTTGAGTCGTAAATATCAAACATGTCTGATAATATCGGAGGGGCTCTGATCGCTTAAGATTCACACATTTCTCCTCTCACACTACCAGATCATCCGCGCGTTCAGTCGATTCTGATCGAGCTCCTGACCTGGAAAATCGCTTCAGATTGTGAAAATTTGACGCAAGGGGCAAATCAGGCTTAAAATCGGCCAAAATACTGTTTAGTGTAGACCCCATCTCCATCGACGTTCCAAGCAGCTGAGCTGATACCAAAAGGTGATGTAAAATCACAATAGGCTGCTGATTGATTGGAGAGAATCGCTAATCACAAATGCTAACACTAACTACCAGTTAGACCCTCGCGTGTCGCAACCAGAATCATCTCATCGTCTGAACTCAGTTCGCGTTGCTATGATGACCAGCTACACTGAGGAGGTACTGTATCTGCAGCGTAAGAGTCGAGCCGAGCCAGTACCATGCAGCGCAAAAGCGGCTAAAGATGTATTACTTTGACTGAAAAGCTCACAACTTGATGTCTCTGACTTTAAATGATTATTTCAGGCTTTACAGAGCGACTCTCGGAATAAAAATGCCAAAAATTAAGGTCTCACTTTCACAACCTCATCTAGATGCTTTTTACGTGTTTCTTTCTTCCCCTGCATTTCATTTGTTCCCCCTGAGGTCTATTACAGGGTTTTATGTACCAAAAACAAGCATATATCATTTTCACATGAGCACTTTCCAACCTTTATCCCTCAGAATTGGCTTTGGTTGCGTTTACACAGCAGGTAAAAGTGGCCCAAATCTGATCTTTTTCTTCATATGTGACACAGATGTGTGTCTGTGTGTCAAAGAACAGTTAAAAGTCTGAAAGCAAAGTTTAAAGAATCCGAGGACGCGAACCAAAGAAGTGACCGCGCCCTTTTTACGGCTCAAACACATTCTGGGTGATGAGCCCAGCTGTCAGTCAGTGAAGCTTCATGATGGCTCCTGTGATGCTGGCGAAGATGAAGCTGATCCTCCGGGAGCGACTGGCGTTCTCTGGCAGTCGTGATTGTTTACCTCTGGATGAGCCGCGTGAAGCATTGATCTTTTGCGCATGTGGCTCAGTTTGGCAGCTGATCTGTTCAGACTGATGTCGCATACAGATCACATTTAAAAGATAATGTGAACAGCCAAACAAAAAAATTGGACTTGGTGAGAAAATCAGATTTGGGCCAGTTTTACCTGCTGTGTGAACACAGCCTTTGTTACCGGGTTTTTAAGATGTATGTAAACAATCATTCAGACATTCATCATTAGATGCAGCCTAATTGTGTATTTGAAATGTTCTGTGAGAGAGGTTAAGGCACGTACCGATGACTCCAAGGCTGGTGAGACGAAGGTACTCGAAGGGTCTCGTTTTACTGACGGTGTGCAGGAATGGATACAGGAACAGGGGGATGTGGGCTGCCAAAAACGCTGATCTAGAAGAAACCAACACATAGAGAGCTGTTCAAAACTTCTGAATGCTGAGATCACAACAGCGATGGACCAGATGGACTTGTTACTCAGAACTGATGTTTTCAGAGCTGTGTGGACGCAAATCTTTTCTTTTCAAATCTGACCTGAGTCACTTTCATATGTGCTCCTAGATCGGATACGTATCCGATTCATGGCCATGTGACCTTAATGTGACGCTCAGATCGGAATTCATGTGCTTTTTTCCACTGCGCCATCAGTCAGCGTTACTATGGCAGCAGCGCTGAACAGAAGTTAAAGCCTGTAAATGGTGGAAAAGCAGCTCATCTCACCTTTTTCTCCTTCGTCTCGCTCTAATAATGAAGCTGAGAGCTGATCAGAGTTAATTATCTTCACAGTGAAGCTCGTTCTGCTCATTCACGTGACGTTACTGAGTAGGATGTGCGCATGCGGGTCATTTCAGGACGCGGTTCGTTCATATTAATGACAGATTTGAGTCACTTACCTAAATGAGTGTGAACCATCGTGTTAGAGAGATCGGATTTGAGCAAAAAATCGGATTGGACCAATGAGGCTTGTAATTCAAACATAGCTTCTATATATTGTTCCATTACACATGCAACTGGCCAGTGTTCTAGATATAAAGCTACTTGTGAACTCCTCAGGAACGCATGCTGTGACATAATTAATCATGAAAACAATAACACAGCACTGTATCATCCACGATGCAATGGATGGGACCTGCACACTAGTGACATTAGTTTTGTTTTAGCTACAGTACATGATATTTGGCCTTTTTTCCTGGAGTGTGCAGCGCTTACCGTGTCTCTACATGCGAAGCCACACACTGCAGCAAAGCTAAGGCGTTACACACTCTGTTGGACTGGTGCGCCGTCAGCGTGGGAGGGTTAATGGAGGGATAGATGTTCACTATTTCCTGTTAAAAAAAAAACATCAAAAGAAAAATAACCATCAGACACAGTGCTGGGAGAATCAGTCACATATCTTACTAGCGGTTATGATGACAGTCTCACAGATACAAAACTGTACACATTGGTTGTTGGTTTATCTGTTAACCAACCACACTTGTTAAACTGTTACACCATTTGTTAAATCAAAACTAAATCTTGCTTCATATGCGCAGCAGCTGAGTGAAAACTCTTCAGGACAAATGTCACAGCTAGTTTGTTCATGATAATACGCTGGGTTGGTTCTCTGTTCCCGGCACTCTGCACTGTGGACGTTCACACGCTTAGACTGTTTCAGCATTTCAAGCTCTGAATTCTCAGACCACTGAGTCACGGTTTTCTGTGTACTTGGGCTGTTTCAGCATCTGAGCTGGACCACTGAGTCATGGTTCCTTTTGCATATGTGAACACGCCAAACAAACTCAGACCCTCTAAACGCCCCCAAAAACGAACCACACTGAGACCACCTCGAGTTCGTTTGTAGTTTGTTTTGTGGTTCGATTGATTTGTACATTGTAAAAACAAAACGGCCCCAGTCTGCTTCAGCTTTGCTATATGGTGAAGACCTCGAGGCTCGGCGCACACACAGCCACAGTCTTCAGCACTTCAGCAGGTAAAACAGACCAAGGATTTTAAGCTGCTTTCATCCCGAACGCTGAATGAATGAAGATTCACCGCAGACGCAGAGTTTTGCCGGGTGGAGCTCAGTGAGGAGCACAGCTGAAAACAAAGCCCACCACGGCAGACCCTCTGGGTCATTTTTCTAATTTTGCACAGTGCACTTCATACAGTCGTTTCAGCGCGGCCAATAGGAGAGCAGCAGGCGGGTCTGGTGGTTCCTCTCACCACCTGAAAGGTCAGAGTTCTCAAGAGAACGCTGCCCACTTTGCGAGCACTGCGCCCACCGTGAGTGCCACGAAAGGAGTCTGAGTTCTAATGGAGTTGTGGTCTGAACAAAAAGTGGTCTGAGATCTCAAAGGACCAGAAAGAAAACTGAGTCCTCTTTATAGTCCACTTACATTGTGAAAACAAAAAGAACTGAGGTCATTTGCAGTTGGTTCCCTTCCATGTTCACTTTAACAGAACTCGGTTCGGTTCTTTTAAGACGAACTATATGTGAAAACACTGAAACTCGGACCTCTCTAAGCGATCCCAAAACCAAACCTCTTGAGTTGGTCTCAGTACAGTTTGTTTGTGGTTCCTATTCTGGTCTGACTGATTTGTGCACTGTGAATACAACACGGTTTCAGTCGTCTTCATGTTTTGATTTATGGCAGAACCTCAAGGCTTCCCATACATACACAAACTTCCAGCAGGTGAAAGCAAACTACTCAGATTAAAGGCTGTCCTTGGTGTGATCTGACAGAGAGACAGCAGCACTGACACTGTAAAGCAGTAAGAATCCATCTATTTTTACAGTTTTTACAGCAGTATTAAATGAACCCCCCTCTTGTAGTGAAATTATTGTAAAGAGTGGCTTATTGCTTTCAGAAGACGGTACGATATACAGTGTAATAAAATGCATATGAAATGTATTTATGCATTTATTAAATACAATGTATTTATGTATTTATTATATATGTATAACGTTACATTATATCGCGTTCCATAACAAATAATTCAGATCAAAGATTTCTTGAACATAATCTGTTTTATGGTTTCTAACAGTTTGGTGCTATTAGAATATTTTTACCTTTGGTTAGAACAGGGGTCGGCAACATGTGGCCCCGAAGCCGCACGTGGCTCTTTTACTGCTCTTTTGCGGCGCCACGCAGAACTTGATTTTTAAATAAAAATAAAATAATCGTCCTTTGCAGTAAAATAAAGCTCTGCTGATCGTTCAACACAGTTTAACAATAAATGGTCTTAAACACTGGAATTATTGTAGACTAATAAAGGATTATCTTATCTTAAACGGACTGAGACCCACAATTTTTGGGGCACCACTTTTCAGTGGTTTGGTGTGCTCCTGTCACACCTGTCAAAACAGACTGAACTAAGGAGAAACTTTGACTGGTCCGCACAAAACAAGGAGTCGCGTCCCAACCCTGGAATTTGTTTCCCAAGTAGATTTTGTAGGTGCTGAACATCGGCTTTTTTGCGAGTGTTCGCCATCTATGGGTTCTTACCCTTTTCATCTCAGTGCAAATACACCAAATAAATACAAATCAGCCTCAAGACGTCCACGTTTGTACCTGAAGGAGTGCAGCGATGGTCCCACACGAGTGCCAGAGCATCGGGGCCAGGTCAGTGACCGATTCCCGCTTCTTGCTGAGCTCCAGAAGCGCATTCTCCCGCGTCTCGGGGCTCGACAGCTCATTGATCCACTGATAGATCTTCTCGCGGTCCACCTGCGCCAGCGCCGTGCTTACAGCCTGCATCGAACACGTCAACACATGTCAACACGCAGTAATGCGAAAATGGTCTAAATCAGAAAAGGGCAGGTCAATACTTAAGCATCAAAACTACTACTGATCCTGATGCTTTCTTTTTTTTTATATACATTTTTTTAACCTGTAATTCAATATTGTTTTTTTGATTACAATTTGTGTATATTTGGTGCTGAAAAAAGCTTTCAAGATAAAGTAAAGATACTAAGACACCATAAAAGATATAAACGTTATAAAGATAATAAGATACTAAAGTCATTGCACTGAGTACAACGAAATTGGGCAGCAATGCTAACTGTGCATAAGCAACTACAAATAAAAGAAAAATATAAACTAATAAGAAATGCAAAATATTAAAAAGAAAATACTATTTAATTTAAAATTATATAATTTAGCTTTACAAAAATAATACAACTTAAATCATTTAAAATGATAAAGCAAGGATGAACATAAAAGAATGTAGCAGCTATGATATTGCACATTTATGGATGACAGTGACTTTATTTGCAAATAGTGCAGTTTAAAGAATAAATAACCATAAACATGCCAATGAACATAAACATCTTTTAATGCTTCTTAAGTATATTTTGCATAGGTGCAGATTAAAGATTCGCTACCCAGCCTGAGCCCGACACAGCCCAACAAAAAAAATGGTTTCAGGATGATTTTTAATAGACGTAAGAACTTTGTTAATTTATTATTCATTTTATCTTCACATAATAATCTTAAATCAGAAACAGTTCATGTTTGATGCAGCATTAATCCCTTAATTTGCAACAGATTATTGAGGTATTTAACTTTAAGCCCATTAAGTCCTATAAATTATTTAGTAACTGTAGCCCTTAATTATAACAGTCTACTTAAGCTGTCGGCCTCAGATTTCAGTTAACTTTATTGCTATTAGTCACAGTTAGCTGTTGCCTTCAGTTAACACACAGTAGTTTCACTTGTTGCCATTAGTTAACACTACGCTGTGAACACTTTAATAACAGGGCCTGATTTCATGAGATAATATTTTCTGTTTTATTGTAGTGAATCGAGTAGATATGATTTATTTTTAATTCTTTATGTGATGCAAACTGTTTTTACACTTTCAAAGAGAACCCTTTAAGGGTTCTTTGGTAAAGGAAGTAGGATTTAGAACCATGAGTTCTATATAGAACCAGTTCTTACTTAAATAGCTCTTCAGATTAATGGAGAATGTATTGTATACGTTTCCATATGGTGCCTTTTTGAAAATGGTTCTATATAGCACCAAATCGGGCTCTCCTGTTGTTGTTAGAATCCTTTTTGGTTCTATATAGAATCATTTTCAAAGAAATTTCACCATGCAAAGGACCATTTAACCTCTTCAACTCCTTGAGACCACCGGTGGTTCCAAAACGCACTTCGTCATATTCTTCATAACTTTCATATTTCATAAGCTACGTTCTAAAGGTGGGGGTCGTATGAGAGCTGTAACTGTCTTCTTTCCTGTCAAATAGATAGGGTGATGTAATTTTAAACCCTTATAATAAAAATCTGGGCTATAAACTACAAACAGATGGCGTCTCTTCAGTGATCTGCTCTGTAAACATTATTTTTATAGAAATAATATAAAGAGCGTCTAAGATTTTTGGCTTTCAGCAGTAAATTGTAAGCATATAGCAATATGTGTGATCATAAAACACATGTTCTGTTAATTTGAGGGGAGCTTTTACAAAAAAAATAAATAAAATAAAAAATGTACATTTATTTCATGCAGTTACTGAATAATTTGCCTTACGATTTGGTCATGTAAATTCAGATAGAAAACCAAAATATACCCTGGAGAATAAGTTAAGCATGTAAATGGTTCTTTAAGTGTATATGGTTCTATATATAACCGCTGTCTAAACTAAAGAACCCTGGAACAACCATCTTTTTTTAAAGTCTTCTTTAGTTGTTGACCTCAGACTGGACAGTCAACTCGTACCTACTGCTGTAGGTTAACTAAGTTACAGTTAGCTGTTGCCCTCAGTTAACGCACAGCAGTTAGCCAGTTTTGCCGGTTGCCCTCAGTTAACACTAGACGCTCTAATAACGGAGCTGGACATCGATTGATAGGATTTGATTCAGCTCATTTTTATTTTAGTGAATCGATTAAATATGGGTTAGTTTGGTTTACTGCGTGATGCAAACTGGCCAGGAACTTTCTAGCTAGTGAGGCTAGACTGTTAGCTGGCAAATTAACGTCAGTTATTCTTATACAAAAGCTCTGATTTCAGTGAAAATATCTGGAGTACAAAAGAAGATTGTTTAAAGGTAAAAACAGCATAAATTAAGTCCACAAAGTCCAATATCCTTCGCGTCACAGTGACCGTTGGGAGAGTTTTAGCGTTAGCTAGCTGGCTCGCGCACACAGACCGTACACTATAGCTTGCGGGGCTAACAGATAGCGTTAGTTAGTATTAGCATTAGCCATCTGGCCGGCCAGCTTATGATTTAAAAATCTTTACATTGGTCACTTTACGGACCCGCCATGTAATAATGAGCTCTGCAGCACTGAAAAAAAACCCCGCTGCATCAAACCAGGCGGTTAAAGTTTGCAGTTCCAGCTAAAAGTAAAGTTTGGCGCTAGCGCTAAGTTAGCTACCCTGGCTAGCAGGCCGGAGGCAGAGTCAGCGGTATAACGAAGGATAAAGTGGTGAATAAAATGAAAAGAACGCCGCATAACTCACCGCTCCTGTGGCCAGCATCCTCCAAAAGGGCTGTCTATGCTCTTTCAGTACCTGTGGAGAACCTTTTTCAGCCGAAAACAGTGAAACTTCCCTCTTTCACATGAGAAATCCTGTCTGTTGTGTTCAACCGCTCCGCTCAGAGTTGCAGCGTCCAGCAGAGGGCGCCAGATCAACTAGGTATAATATTATGACCACCTGGTCTGAGTGAATCAGACACAGCAGTGCTGCTGGAGTTTTTAAACACTGTGTCCACTCACTGTCCACTCTATTAGACACTCCTACCTTGTCGGTCCACCTTGTAAATGTAAAGTCAGAGACGATAGCTCATCTGCTGCTGCACAGTTTGTGTTGGTCATCCTCTAGTCCTTCATCAGTGGTCACAGGACGCTGTTGGCTGGATATTTTTGGTTGGTGGACTATTCTCAGTCCAGCAGTGACACTGAGGTGTTTAAACAGGACAACAAGCATTTTCGAATTGTCCCAAAAAACTAAAAAACACAAAAATGGAGATATGAGGTTTTGTTCCGACAGCATATGTACACCATGTATCACCATCACCACCACTGTAAAGAAATCTGACTCGCTAAGTTTCTCTACAGTGAACCGTTTCACATCAAACCACTGTGACTGACTTTGTTTACATCTCAGTGATTGAATTATGCAGAAATCTAAAATTTGGTGGATCTTCCCTTTAATGACTGACTAATACAGTGAAGCTGTAGAACATGCAGGCGCTGTTTCAGCAGCACCAGGTTCACTAAGTGTAGTCAGTGCGGTTAAACAGCTCCACCTAGTGGAAATGTTTGGAACTGATTAGTTTCATTGTTACAAGCTTGATCTCACCACAGTAGAAGAACCCTTTTGGGTGCTATATAGAACCCTTTACAGAAAGTTTCTATACAAAGTGTGTAGCTTCACATTTAGCACTGACACAATCAGACACTAGTACACTCTTAAAAACGATGGTTCTTCAAGGGTTCTTTAGTAACAAAAATGGTTCTATATAGAACCATGAACACTCAAAGAACCCTCTGCATGGTTAAAGCAGGTCTTTGTATCATGAACGGCTTCTTCAGATTGATGGAAAGCGTGCTGTATATGGTTCTATACAGAACCTTTTTGAAAAGGGTTCTTCTATTGGTACAGGCTTGACATCATAACAACAAAAGATGCATTTTTGGTGCTGTATAGAACCGTTTTGAAAAAGGTTCTATATAGAACCATCTAGAGCACATTCATGCACATTCTCCATCAACCTGAAGAACCCTTTAATGATGTAAAGAACGCTTCAATTGTACAAAGGGTTCTTTGTTTATGGTTCTATGAAGAACCATTTTATTTAGTAAAGAACCCTTGAAGAACCATCTTTTAAGTGTGAAAATGAATTTAATCATTTTTAAAGTTCAGTTTGAGCACAAACGTGAAAAAATGTATCAAACCGATCAAACCATACAGATAAATACGTTTTATCACTTAATTGATCATAGAAATCTGGTCATTTGGTCAAACGTGAGTATCGATTTTTAACAAAGCAACATCGAAAATATTGTGAATAAAAGTGAAAATGAAATTTAAACAGATATTCATTCAAGGCAGTTATACAAACTACACAAACAGTCAGAAAAGGTTCTGTGGCTTTATTATTATTACAGTGTGGAATTTAATAAACTAAATTCCTTTTCATACAAAATTTGGGTTTGAATGGATTAACAAGTAGCTACTTGGTTCAAAACCACAGCTAATAAATCTATGAGAACAATAATAGAACCAAAATATTAAGAACCAAAGTAACGTTAATGTGTTAATGTTATCCAGTCGATCCTAAAACAGACGCTAACAGTTGACGCTAACATGCTAACTTAGGCTCAGTTAGGTAGCTAAGTTGGCATCAAAGCTACTTACAGAATGAAGGTTTGTTGGGCTAACAGCTAACAGCTAACCTAGCTTAGCATTAGCATTAACACTCTTCAAACGAGCTGAAATACAAACACAGCTCTGACCGTCAGTGCTGACCGGCCTCAGTGGGGGAACTACGCCTGGCTCACTAGCTCAGCTAACGTTAGCTCTCCTGACTGACTAAACTGAGTAAACGAGGCTGAAACCACCTTCTTAGCTAAGGTGACTCGAATTTTCCCGTTCCACCTTAAATAGTTCAGCAGTTACATTCTGGCCACTCAGACTCGCCTCAGGCACCTGAGAGTAACTGCCGCACCATTTAAGGTGGAACGAGAAGTAGTAAATATGTAAGGGGGCGGTGGAGATCGTATCTGCAGTGTCTGAGATTAAATCTCAGATTTAATCAGTTAGAAAATAAAAGCATCTCACAGTGAGAGCAGCGTTTAACAGTACAAATACATGTAGCGTCATTATGCCAGTAGTGAGCTCTGCTGCCTGAAACAGCCGCCTAACACGATATACGCTGTAGAAATGCAGGCTGTGTCTCAAATGGCTTCAAGCTCCCTCTGTAGTGCATGTCAGACGATGGCATCTACACCGAAAGAGTGAATTATATGTCCAATAAGAAGTCGTGCAGCCTGTGGCTGAATCCCAAATGGCTCTGTGTTTTACATACAGCGCCCTGTTTGGATGTTGAAGCTATTATTATGTGAGCTACGCAGTGCACTAGATAGGGTGTAGGGAGCGATTTGAGACGGAGCTAAAAAGAGAACGCGCTCGTTCGTCCCGCTGAAACTCTCAGCAGTGAACAGCAATAAACTCCAACCAGCACCGATAAACATCGCCGAACGGCTTAGAAATGATCAACAAAAGCTAAGAGTTTTATTTAATGGGGTTTATTCATACACACACACACACACACACACACAGACACACACACACACACACACACACACACATATATATATATATATATATACATACATATATGTATGTATAGTCTGGTTTCCATGGTAACCGAGCAGCGTCTATGACGTCACAGAGGGGCGGAGCTTGCCTATAAATAGCGGAAGTTTTCAGCCTCGCGTTCAGTCGGATTGATGACCTCATAGTGTTCGGATGTGCGACGTCATTTATCCGGACCCCGAATTATTCTGAGACAGAACAGCGCGGATCTTCTCCCGGACAGAACCAGATAAAACGTGAGTACAGTTTAAACTCATTTACACCTGAAGAACCAAATCAGGACATTAAACTATGAAAAAGAGAAAAAGAACCGGAGTATAGATAGAGAACCGAAACAGAGATAAAGAACCACTATAGAGAAAAAGAACCGAAACAGAGATAAAGAACCACTATAGAGAAAAAGAACCGAAACAGAGATATATAGAAAAGGAACCACTATAGAGAAAAAGAACCGAAACAGAGATATATAGAAAAAGAACCACTATAGAGAAAAAGAACCGAAACAGAGATAAAGAACCACTATAGAGAAAAAGAACCAGAATATATATATTCTCTCTCTCCCATTTTCTCTCTCTCTCTCCCATTCTCTCTCTCTCTCTCTCTCTCTCTCTCTCACTGTTCTATTCTCTCTCTCTCCCATTTTCTCTCTTTCTCTCTCTCTCTCTCTCCCATTCTCTCTCTCTCTCTCTCTCTCTCTCCTGCTGGTTATTATTTTGTGTATTTTATAATCAGTTATTAGTGTTGTTGTAATTATTATTGATGTTATTATTACTAGGCTACTAGTACTGTGAGAACAAGAACTGTGAGGGTCTAAATGAATGTTTTAGATGGCTGTTGTAATTGAGTAAGTATTTAAATTCCCTGATTTCTTGTTTTTTTCTGTGTTTTAATATCTCAGGAGAGTCTAACATGGCAGAGAATGCTCTTCGTAACGCAGCAGGTTCTCACTCAGAGCCTGGCGACTCTGCTAAGTCTCAGGACGTCTCCCGTTTCCTACAGAGCCTGACTGATCGGTATGTACTCAGCACTGAGTGGTGCAGCCAGGAATTACTCAAATGTACACTGTCAAATACAAACATACAAATATCCAGCACAATGTACAAATGTATTTACAAGTACACAGATATGAAATATACATATGAATGACATTACTATGCATAAGGACTAAAACACATATATGGCATTTATTATGGCTTATCTTCCATTACAGCTGTGTTGTTAGCTTTCAAATGAATTATTAATGTTATGGTAACAGATCTGAATCCTGATTGGTTACTCCTGGGTCTTTAGCCGCTGGTAACCAATAAAATGTGATGAAACAAGCTAACAGACATGACATTTCCCTCTAGGGTGGTTAAATAGACAAGACTCAATAATGATGAATTTGTTGACATTTATGATCATTTTAGTGCAAAAGTCGCTGTCTCTGTTACATCAGCACTAAATGGCTGTTCTGCATTATCTTTTATCTTTCAGGCAACTACAGGTGATGCTTGGTAGAATGCATCAAATGGTGAGCTTTTATAATTCAAATACAATTAATTTATATTTTTATTTTAATATCATTATTGTGAAATCACAGCAGATGAACCCTGTAAGACAATGCTAGTGATGACTAATACTGTCAATATGTTCTTTTGCTTAAAGTTTACGAGGGACGAAATCACGACAATGAACACGGACATTGAGAAGATCGTGACCACATTGTCAGAGAAAGTCATCATTCCAACAATTTATGAAGTTCTTAATATGGATGCCAGGTCGCTTTTCCTCACGAGACCAGGGTCTTCAAACCATTCTTTGGAGTCAGTCATCAAAGAAGTTCTGAATGCCATCGTGAAGACCATCATTGACGCTCTTGATGATTCTCACATGTGTGAGCTTCGTAGAAATGTGACGGAAAAGACTGAGCTCCTGGCGTCTCCATGTGGGTCAGTTGAGCTCTGTAATTTGTCACTGTCTGTTGAGCCCAGTGCTGAGAACATGACATCCAAAGACCAGGCACAACTTCAGGAATGTGCTAAAGATGTGATTCTTGAGGTTTGCACCATCTATCGGGCCAAAGAATTCAAGAGTGCATCGGATTTGTCTTGCCCTCCAAAGATGTGTGCGACAGATCTTGCTGAATATTTGCTATCAGAGCTGGTTGACATGCTAACGTCCTCTCGGAG